CGGGGGGCGGGGGCGGGCAAGCGGCCGCCGGCGCCCGGGGTCCGGGCTCGCGTCGGGCCCCGGCGCTGCTCCGGCTGCCTTCCGCCCTCAGCCACGACGCCCCCCGCGTAGCGCGCCGGGCCGCTGGAGAGCACGCTTCAGCCCTTGCTCTCGGATTCCCCAAGGAGGAAGACCCCGGCCGCGCTCGGTGTCCGCGGCGGAAGCGCGGCAAGGTCGCCGCCGTGCGGCTGAGGAGGGACGCGGTGACGGGCGAGGGCGAGGACGAGGAGGACGCGGACGCCGAGAACGCGGGGCCGCCCCGGGCCGCGCCGTCCCCACGGGTGTGGCGGAAGCGCCGCTCGTCGTCGCGGACGCGGGCCCCGCGGCAGGAGCCCCCCCGCGCCCTGGGAAGCCGCCTGAGCACGTTCGCGGCCGAGACCAAGTCGTCCGGCCGGAGCCTGGCCCGCTTCCGCCACTACCTGTGCGGCTGCTGCGACCTGCGGCGGCGGCGGGGGGCGGACCCCGAGGCGGAGGCGGCGGGGGGCGCCGGGGGCCAGGCCGAGCCCCCCGGGGCGGCCTCGGGCAGCTGCCCCGCCGACGAGCACCGCACGCAAGGCGCTGCGGGGGGCGCGCCCGGGGACCAGGAGGACGGACAGGATCACCCCGCGCCCGTGTAAATAAAGCGGAGTTTATTTTTGTGCCTGGCTGGTCCCAGCCCCGTGCCTGCAGGTTTGTCCTGGATGGACGGATGGATGGACGGACGGACGGACGGATGGATGGACGGACGACGGATGGATGTACAGATGGACGGACGGATGGACGAATGGATGGACGGATGGACGGACAGATGGACGGATGGACGGACGGAGGGATGGATGGACGGACGGAGGGACGGACGGACGGATGGACGGACGGACGGATGGATGGCCGGACGGATGGGTGGATGGATGGACGGACGGACGAATGGATGGATGGACGAATGGATGGACGAATGGATGGATGGATGGACGGACAGATGGACGGACGGACGGACGAATGGACGGATGGATGGATGGACGAACGGACGAATGGACGGACGGACGGATGGATGGACGAATGGACGGACGGATGGATGGATGGACGAACGGACGAATGGATGGACGGACGGACAGATGGACGGACGGACGGACGGATGGATGGACGAATGGACGGACGGATGGATGGATGGACGAACGGACGAATGGATGGACGAATGGATGGACGGATTGGAGGGCACGTGCATCCACTTTCTTCCTCCCTCACCCCCCTCCCCGTTCCAGCTCCGTCTGAATTTCTGTCTCTAATTTTCGAGGCCTTGGGAGAGGCCGCACTTTTGAAACCCTGGAAGGAGGAGCTGCAAGAAGCAGCACGGGGGGGCGGGGACCTGCGGGGCTGCCCGGGCCTTATGCCACAGGGTCCGCCTCGGGAGTTCTGATTTTCTTCCAGGGACTCTCAGCTCAGAGCAGAGCTTTTGGGCTTCAGACTTAGCAAGACTATGGGGACGACAGCCGTTTGCTAAATAAGCCTGGCCTCCCAGGCTTCCTTCCTCCGCCTGAGTAACAGGGGAGGGGCCTGGCCTCCAGAGCCCCCCCACCTCGCCCCTGCCCGGCGGGCCGAGGGCTCAGAGGGCATGTCTGCGATGGGGGAGATGCGCCGGCCTAGGTCAGGGTCCCTAGAGGCCGGGGCAGTGAGGAAGCAGGACTGGGCAGGGAGAGGGCACAGCTGGCTGTGGCCCCGGTCGGCCTGCCTCAGCCTGTGTCCAGGGAGCTCTGGAGCCAGAGTCACCCACAGAATCGGCGGCACTCTTGAGGCGTGTCAGTGGCTGCGGGCTGCCCAAGTTGGTGGGTGGGTACCTTCCCCGGCAAGGCAGCCCCTGTCGTTGCAGGGTCACTGGCTGCGTGCTGTTCGCAAGTGGCCCGGAGGAGCCGGAGTGGGTGCGGCTGGCACGGGGTCCGCAAGGGCACCATGACAATGACCTCTAAAAATCACTGGGCTCCGTGGCACGCACTTGTTGTAAACGCCGCACGCGTGAGTTACAGCAAAGTGTATTATGGCAAAGTGGGTAAAAATAAACACACAGATAAGGGAGAAAGGACAGCCCTTCGTTCAGAAGAACCGCAACCAGCAAAGACATCGGAAACTGGCGTTCAGACCTGGGCCATCCCCGTGGCGGGACCGGTAACCAAGAGCGAAATTAGGGATGAAAGTTTGAGGAGAAACAGGAAATTTGCACAGTTTCAAAGCCTCTCCCTTGAGATATTTATTAATTACATAGGTAAACTAATGACTTCACAGAGGAAAGCCCAGCAGGAGCCACACCCTTTCTTCTAAGCTGTCAAGGCTACCATGACCCATAGTAAGGAGTGTGGCCATCGTGTCGCCGGCCGTGATGTGTGGGGAAGGAATGTGGCTTCTGTGGCAGTCTCGTCAGATGCGTAACCATGCGAGCACAAGAGAACTTCCCACAAACCCAGATTGAGGAACACTGTCTCAAAATAATTGACCAGTAGGGGCACCTGCATGGCTCAGTTGGTTAAGCTCAGGTGGTGATCTCACGGTTCATGGGTTCGAGCCCAGCATTGGCCTCTGTGCTGACAGCTTGGAGTCTGGAGCCTGCTTGGGATTCTGTGTGTGTGTCTGCCCCTCCCCTTGTCTCTCTCTTTCAAAATAATAAACATAAAAGAAAATATATTCACATTGTTTTAAAACTACCACCGCCGTCCGTCTCCAGAATCCTTCATCCTGCAAAACTGAAGCTCTGCCCCCATTAAACACTAACTCTCCATTCCCCTCCTCCCAACCCTGGCGACCGCTGCCTACTTTCTATCTCTATGATTTTGACCCGGCCAAGTATCTCATTTAATCATATAGTATTTGTCTTTGTTGTGACTGGCTTATTTCAGTTAGTGTCATGTCCTCAGGGTCCATCCGTGTTGCAGCACCTTTTCCAAACAGTAAGATCCCACCATGCGTCTATACCACACACCCTGCTTAGCAGTTCATCCATTTGGTGGACAGCTGGGCTGGGTTGCTTCCATGTTTTGGGTCCTGTGAGTAACGGTGCTATGAACATGGGTCCACAAATATCTCCTTAAGACCCTGCCTTCTGTTGTTTTGAGTGTGTACCTACAAGTGGAATTGCTCCGTCCTGCGGTAACTCTACTTTTCATTTTTCAAGAAACTGCCACCACACTGTTTTCCACAGACGCTCTCCATTTCACATCTTCACCAACAGTGCACGGGTCCAATTCCTTCACATCTTCACCAACACTTGTTGTTTCCTGTTTCTTTTCCCCTCTAAGAGTAGCAATTATAATTGGAGTGAGGAAAATCTCACTGCATGTTCTTTTTTTATTAAGATTTTAGTTTTAAGCCCTCCTTGCACCTACCGCGGGCCTGAGCTCACAATCTTGAGACCAAGAGTCACAGCTCCACCCAGCCAGCCAGCCAGGCACCCATCCCTCACTGTAGTTTTGATACATATAAAACCTTTATCATTTATTGTTTTTAATTTCATTAATTTTTCCTCTACTCTTTATTTTTCTACCCTTCTCCATTCTTTGGGTATATTTTGCTATTCTTTTTTTTTTTTTTAACTTCTTCAGATGGCTACTTAACTCATTGCTTTTCAATTTTTCTTCTTTTCTAATGTATGTATTTAAGGCTATGAACTTTCTTCTACATATAGCTTTAACTTCATTCCATCAGTGTTGATAGGTAACTCTTCGTTATAGTTTGGTTTTAAAATATTTCATAATTCCCAACATTCTCTCTTTTTTTTTAAATCTGAGAGAGAGAGAGCAAGTGTGCATGTGCAAGTTGGGGAGGGGCAGAGGGAGAGAGAGAGACTCCCAAGCAGAGCCCGACACAGGGCTCAAACTTGCCGACCCTGAGATCATGACCTGAGCTGAAGTTGTACGCTTAACTGACTGAGCCACCCAGACACCCCATTATGTTATTTTCTTAAAGATTTTATTTTTAAGTAATCTCTACACCCAACGCGGGGCTCAAATTCACAACTGTGAGATCAGGAAGTCACATGTTCTACTAACTGAGCCGGCCGAGGACCCCGCCCCCCAAATCTCTATCTTAGAATTAAGGATATATGCTGGCCTCGATTGCTATTGTCTCCCTGCCTAACCTCTCAATTACAGACAGAGGAGTATTCAGATCTGACTTAGGGCTTTTCTGATTCTCTTTATAGTCTCTCGATTGTTTTCTTTTTATATATTGAGGGCATGTCATTAGATCCACAAATACTTAGCATTACCCTATTTTCCCAGTGAATGTTACCTTTTATCATTATGAATTAACCCCTTTACCTCTTAGTGTTTCTTTCAGCCTGAAATTCTGTCTGATCTATTATTAGCACAGTACCCTCATCTTCTTCTGGCTTGTGTTTGTAGTTTACCTTTTTCCAGACTTTTGCTTTCAATCATTCTGTTTTCTTTTGTTCTACAAATGTCCTGTGATCACCCCCAGCCCCACCCACAGGGAATTTGGAATGTTGCACTTGAAAGGGAGTGATTAAAACCAGCCCCTTGCCGGGGCTCCTGGGTGGCTCAGTCGGTTAAGCAGCCGACTTCGGCTCAGGTCATGATCTCATGGTTCCTGGTTTCGAGCCCCACACAGGGCTCTGTGCTGACAGCTCAGAGTCTGGAGCCTGTTTCAGATTCTGTGTCTCCCTCTCCCTCTTTCTGACCCTCTCCTGCTCATACTCTATCTCTCTCTCTCAAAAATAAATGTTAAAAAAACAACAAAAACAGCCCTTGCCATGACTCTCTGGGACACCAGCTTCTCCTGGAGTCTGGACCATATCCCTCCTCACCTACTGCCCTGCAGGGAGGGCTGTGGCCCAGGCGGTGGGGAGGCTGACCTGTTGCACAGGCCAGCTGGGAGTCACCAGCCTGGAATGCTGCCCCAGCGCGGTGCTCACACAGTGGGAAGGGGGGGCTGCAAATGAGCAACCTCTGGGCACCGGGGTGCTTGCTGCCACCGGGTGTCACGGCTCCTGGGCCCTGTCCACGGAGAGCAAGGACACGCACGTGCGTGCTAAGTCACACTCACAAATACTTCTATTTTTTTTTTTTTTTATTTCTAAGAGAGAGAGAGAGACAGCGTAAGCAGGGGAGGGTCAGAGAGAGAGGGAGTCACAGACTGAAACAGGCTCCAGGCTCTGAGCTGGCAGTCAGCACAGAGCCCGACGCGGGGCTCGAACCCACGAACCGCGAGATCATGACCTAAGCGAAAGTCGGACGCTTAACCGACTAAGCCACCCAGGCGCCCCTACTTCTATTTTTTTTTAATATTTTATAGTTTACTTATTTTTGAGACAGAGAAACAGAGCATGAGTGGGGGAGGAGCAGAGAGAGAGGGAGACACAGAATCTGAAGCAGGCTCCAAGCTCCGAGCTGTCAGCACAGAGCCTGACGCGGGGCTCGACCCCACGGACTGTGAGATCATGACCTGAGCTGGAGTTGGACGCTTAACGACTGAGCCACCCAGGCGCCCCTCATCTACAAATACTTCTAGCTGGATCTGTATTAAGCTGAACATGAGTTCGTGGCGATGTCTCCACCTCTAATCGGTGACTGTGTGCCTCATTCCGGTCTCATCCCCCTGCATATCTGTAACCTGCCCCCCGACAACAGAGAGGAACGGCCTCCCCTGGCCGCCCAGCACTGACTCGTGGTACCGGAGCTGTTAGCAGCACAGCCATGGGATGATCAGTGACGCGGTGCTGTTTCTCCTGCCTTTGGTTTTACAGATTCCGCTAATTTCCAAGGGACTTGTGCGCGTCTACACCCGTCCTGCAAGTGGAGCGATTACGGACATTTACAATGTGGTTAGGGTCTCTGCTTACGTTCTTCAGCCCGTCCTGGGGACCCCGCGCCTCCTGGACATGTGGTTTTCAGTTTGCGTGCATGAAGGTTCGCTCTGCTGTGAAGTTCTGTCGTTTGGCAAATGCATAGTGTGGCCTCTCCTATGGCTACGGTGTCGCACACCGTCGGTTCACAGCCTGAAACGCCCCTGTAACTTCTTGGCGCGTGTCTTCTTTCCTGCCTTTGTTTGGTCGTCACTTTAATTCTGTTTTGTCCTTCTCGTCGCTCAGCAGTCGTTATGCACTGTTTTTCTCTTTGGTGGCTTAGAAAGCGTTCGTCCTTGACTTAGCAGCAGCTAACACAGGCTGCCACTGTGTCCTCTACCGACTCTGGAGCCACCGAGTCACAAATCTCAATTCCTGTATTTTAAGCACCATGAGAAGTGCCTGGTGGTGGCTGAGTCGGTTGAGTGTCTGAATCTTGATTTTGGCTCAGGTCACGATCCCAGGGTTGTGGGATCGAGCCCTGTTGTTAGGTTCCACGCTGAGTGTGGGGCCTGCTTAAGATCCTCTCCCTCTCCCTCCCTCTGCAGCCCCAGCTTGTGTTCTCTCTCTCTCTCTAAAAACAAAACAAAAAACCCTACCATGAGACATTATCGCTTTTGTTCTATAGAATCAATGTTTGCTTAGGTTTACATACGTATTTACTGTTCTTTGTTCTGTTCTTGCTTTTTATTGACCCGAGATCACCCCACATGTCAGTCGGCTGGGGGTCATCTCAGTTTGGATGTGTCTGAAAATACCTTCATTTTACCTTCATCTTGGAAAGATACTCTGGAGGGGAGGGGCACCCACCCTGCGGGGGTTCGCGTTGCAGGGGGGACGTAAGCCGCTCCGCTGCTCCCCGGAGAGCCCGCTCTCTTCCTTCTCTGGTTGCTTTAAAATATTTTCTCTTTGTTTTTGCCTTTCTGCAGAGCGCGAGTTCATTTTAATTCCCTGGGCTGGCGGAATCTGTGAACCGCTGGTTTTCATCAAGTCTAGAGACTTGTGACATCCTTTCTCCAGGCTGGCCTTCGGTGTCTCTCCCCTCCCAGGCCCCGGGCCGGGCCGGCGCCCCGTGTACCCGTGGCCTGTTTTGCATCCGGGGAAGTGGAGCCGCAGCGGCATTCTGCCACTCGTCACCCCAGCTGTGCCCAATCCGCCCCTGCGTCCATCCGCTGACACCCAACGCTGCTCACGCGCCTCCCAGCTCCTCCACTTGGTCCTTTAGTTTGACCTTTACCTTCTTGAAATGCTAAGCGGCCGTCTTCGTCTCGACGATCCAGGCGCTGGAACTGCCCCGCGTCCTGGGGTCTGTCGTCCCTGTCGTCCCTGCCTGGCCTCGCGCACAACGGCTTCTCTCGGCAGGTGCTCCGTCCATGTTTGTTGTGGCTGAGCTTGTGCCCCTGAGATTCCTGCCGCCTCCCACCAGGCGTCTGCAGATGCTGGCGATCCATCTGGGACCAGCTTATTCCAAGTCGGAGGCTTGGGCAATTCCAGACCCCCGGAATGGTGGGCGGCCCCACCGCAGACCCTGATGGTCCCAGTTCGCCCTCCGGGGCCCCAGTCCAGTGCCTGATGGTCCCCAGACCCCACCCTGCTGCTCCCCTGGCCCCAGGCCAACATTCAAGGCTCTCCGAGCACAGCCTCAGCAAAGCTCCCAGGTCAGAGGCCGCCTTCAGGGCCTTCCCTCCCCCTTGCCTCTCCCACCAGTCTCCTTGGCCCTTTGAAGCTTTTTCCATTATTTTTTTTCACCGGGCTGAAGGTGCTGGTGTGGAACATTCGTCCACATTATCCGTGGCGTCTGCGCTCATGGTTCACTCCTGTACCACAGAGGCCTCGCCCACGGCCACGGCCCAGAACGCCCCCAGCGGAGACGACCTTCGGGTCACACAAGCTGCAGGAGGCCTCGGCCAGGCTTCATCCCGGAGCTCCAGGCTACACCCAACTCACTCGCAGAAGATCTGGGTGCAACAGTTTGCTTTGTTTCGGGCTTTTTCCCTGAGCTCAGAGTCTTGCCCTGTCATCAGAGGATGGCAGTAATGGCCTTTCTACCCCCCTCCCAGCCCTGACGGGGGTCGGCATGGAAAATGAAGGAGTCCTTTAACGCTGTGCCAGCCGGACCCCCTTCCACGTTCTCCGGGTCCCGCCTTACTAAGCCTCCTGAAACCAAGTTTTCTTTAGCCAGTCTCCTACCCTTGGAAAGCAAACATCAAGACATCTCGACAAGGACCACGTCGTTTATTTACAAAGGCCAGTGTGGACGCTGGGGAGGTGGGGGAAAGCCACACAGACATCCTCTCTGGATCGCAGAGGCCGTGTTCCCACTCGGAGAAAAGGCGGCCCCTTGCACCTCCACATTCTCAGCCACGTCCTCCGAGCAGCTGCGCGAAGCCGTGGGGAGAAGGGGCGCTGGGGTCCCCCCCCCCCCCCCCCATGTGCTGGCAGAGTGAGCAGCGTCCAATTCCGCACCCACGGCGGCCCCGCACCCTCTCCCTCCCTTCCTCAAACAGAACCTTTCGGCCTGGAAGGAAAACAGTGAAGGACCCAAAGGCCGGGGGTTGCCGAGGGAAGAGACCCCTCCTCTGCCCTCCGACAGCTTCAAGAGGCCCAAGGCCCTGGCTCCCCGGACCGTGTGCGCTCCTGCCCTGGGCCAGCCCCCCTGCCTCCCGCTCTGGGGGGAGGCAGCGCGCGACCAGAAACCAACGAGGGATCCACCGTCCTGTGCCACTCACGTGTGTGCGTGTGCGCGTGCACCCACCTACTGCACACACGCCCGCTGCTGAGCAGACCCCTATCCCTTCACGTCTCGTGATGGCGACTGGAACCTCGATATCTGGGGACGCAGGCGAGTCCTGGGCCCGGGGGCAGCAGGACCCCCGAGAACCGTATCGCTTGGCTTCACCGAGCCCCTCCTGCGGCAACAGGTCCTAGCATCTCTAGGCCCCTCTGCCAGGCCTGAGCCTGGACCCCTGCCTAAGGGAGCTCAGTGGGGCTTCCACCCCCAAAGTGTCCGTTCCAGCTTCTGAGCCTCGGACTCAGGTCGTTTTCCCTTCCCTCCTCCAGAAAATCTCATCCCTCTTCTGCACCCATCTCCAGGGCTCAGGTCCTTGTACAGACGGCCGTGTCTCGTGGCCCCTTCGGACAGGGAAGACAGGCACCCTCCTCTCCCGGGTCATCCCAACAAAGCCTGGATGAAAGGACCAGAATGGGGGGGAGGGATGGAGAGAAGAGCCTGTCCCCGCCCCCCCCCCCCCCCCCCGCCCCTGCTTCACAGGGTGTGGTCCCAGCAGGGGTCAGGCTGCAGGTGGAGGAGCAGGAGAGAGAGATAAGACAAGCGGAGCCCTAGCCGCACACACGGAAGACCCGGCCCCAGTCCCTCCCGCTTGCCCGGCACCGCCACCGGGAAGTCTGCAGGCTGTGCCAGGCGGCGGCGGGGCCGGGGGCTGGGGCCGACCAGCGACACTGTGAAAACCGCGCGACCAGCCCTGCTGGGGCAGGACCCAGGGCGACGACTCCGTAAGATGCACAAGTAAACCCAAAATTCGCAGGGCACCGGGGCGAGGCCCGGGCCCCTCAGCCACCCTGCTGTCTGGAGAGGACGGGGGAGAAGGCGGGGTGGCAGGCAGAGGGCAAGGGCTGACGGAGGAGCCAGGCGCTGGCACCCGGCCAAGGGAGTGGCCCGAGGTGCAAACGGGGGGTTAGGAGAGTTGTGAGCCCAGGAGTCTCTCGATGGCCGCGTTGACGTCCCCTCCCGTGGCGATCAGGGCCTGCAGGTTGGCCTCGCGGTTGATGAAGCCCATGGAGTTGAGCTGCTCCAGCTGCTGCTGGAACCTCACTTCCGGCGTCTGCACCTGCAGAGGACGGGCCTCGTGAGGGGGCGCAGGGCCACCCCCGGGGCCTGTACGAGCCTGAGGTCTATGGCGCACAGCAGGAGACCGGCAGGTCCTTCCCCAACATCCTCAGGCTCAGCCAGCGGGCAGGGAAGGGTGAGCCACAGACAGGGCCACGGAGCCTGCACCCCACGTCAGTGAACGACCGTGTAACTGAAGGTGGGGGGGTGTCTTTCTGAACATTTCAGAGTAACAGACGGGCCTAGAGCAGCCTATATTCCTCCCATCCAAGTACCAACCAGGCCTGACCCTGCTTAGCTTCCAAGATCAGGCGAGATCGGGCGCGTTCAGGGTGGTATGGCCGAAGACGAGCAGCCTATATTCCCAATCACTTTCCATCGCTCCCTGAGAGGTTAAGGGCACTCCAGAAGTGAAACGGTCTGGGCTCAGGGCGTGGCAGGGTCTACACAGTGTCCTCCCCTGGTCCTGCCCCCCCGTCTTCAGGCAGGGAGCCAGACTGAAGGTCAGGGAAGGGCCTCAGGAAACAAGGAACCTGTTTAATCACGTTTAGCCAATCAACAAACACCGTTGTTTACAGAAGAGAAGGCTTTTTGTTTCTGACATTCTTATAAACATCTCCTGGAAATGCTTTCCCAAACGGCGTTGGGCAAACACCAGCCTTGGTCATGAAGGAGCTCCGCAGTCACAGGCCACCCAGCCTCTGACAGGACGAATGCACAGTCCTCAGAAGAAAAGGATGTGCCAAGGGTCACAGAGGCCCCTTAACGTGCGGCACAAGAGCCTTCTCCAGTGTCGGGTGCTGCTTCTCATCACGGTCTACAGGCTCTAGGCCAGACTGGACCTTGGTCCAACCCTTCTACAGGGTTCTGAAGAACAGAGCTGGGTAGGGGCGCCTGGGTGGCTCAGTCGGCTAAGCCTCCGACTTCAGCTCAGGTCATGATCTCACGGTTTGTGGGTTTGAGCCCCGCGTCGGGCTCTGTGCTGACAGCTAGTTCAGAGCCTGGAGCTGCTTCAGATTCTATGTCTCCCTCACTCTCTGACCCTCCCCTGCTCATGCTGTCTCTCTCTCTCTCAAAAAACAAAACAAAACAAAACAGAGCTGGGCACACTTACATTTCTGTTAAAAGAGTTCTCCCAGATGAGTTACAGAGGCCAGAGAAAGGTTAAGGGCCTCACCTGAGGTCAACCCTACTCCTCCTCGAATCCACTGGCCTTGACTTTGCGCCCCAGGGCTCTAGTTACCTCGGCCCCGAGAACCCTCTTCTCCAGTCTCAGAGCTGGAGGCTGCGTTAATCACCAAAGGACCCTGTGACAGCAGCGGTGGCTGCACAGTGTGGGGGTTAAGGTGCACATTCAGAGCTCGCATGCCTTGGCTCCGTTACTTACTGTCTGTGTGACTCTGAGCAAGCCACTTACTCTCTCTGGCCTTCCGTTTCCCCCTTTTATAACACAGAGAAAGCGGCTTCTTTCCAGGGCTGTTGTGAGGAATTGAGCAAATGTGCTCTTGCGCACAAGGCATTAGAAGGGCCCCTAGCGTCCGGTAAGTTCTATCATTACTCTCATCTCCATTTCACAGCGCAGCCAGCCAACGTAGGGAAGGTGGCAACCTGCCCTGCGGGAGGGGTGGGGGGTCATGCTGGCTCCAAACCTGCCTGGCTGTTTCCAGGGTGCCCCCCACTCCCTCCCGCGGCCCCGCTTACCTGGGAGTTCCCACCCCCGGCCAGCAGCTGGACCATCTGCTGCATGAGGTGCTGCTGGGCACTGGGAGCCCCCGCGGGAGAAGGCGCGGCGGGGGGCGCTGGTGAGGAGGTGGGGGCCTCGGGGGCAGGCCCGGTGTCGCCGCCCGCTGGGGTCGCCGGGGTCCGGGACATCCCGAAGGAGCCAAGGCTGCAGGCAGGAGAGACCAAGGGGCGGGAGGCGGCCTCTGAGAAACAGACGGGAACGCGAGGCCCAGAATGCCCCGCGCGGGAAGCACAGCGCAGACCCCAGGGCGGCGGGGGCGGGGCTCGGCGGGAGGCGGGGCCAGCGCCCGCGGCCCCGCCCCAGGCCCCGCCCCCGCGCTCACCTGGGAACCAGCCCGGGGGCCTCGGTCTGCAGCGTGTGCAGGCCCTGCTGGATCTGCAGCAGCGCCTGCATGGCGCGCGGGTTGGTGAGCACGGACAGGGACTCCGGGTTCTGCATCTGCCGGGAACAGGCGAAGGAAGGCAGGGGTGGCGGGACCAGGAGGCCACCTGGACGGGGTCCGGGGCTCTGCCCTGCCCTTCCTTCCCCCAGCCCCCCCACGCGACCCCCTCCCCGGCCTCCCGGTACCTGGCCCACCTGCTGCAGGAAGACGGGGAGCTGGAGGCGGAGCTGCTCCTGCAGCTGGGGGTTCCCCGCAAAGAGCGGCACGTTCACCATCATCTGGGGGGTGAAGGCAGGAGGGAGGCCCGGGCCTCAGGAGCCCCGGGCCTGCTTCCCTCGGCACCCCCACCGCAGTCGGAAATCTGGGTCTCTGTGCAGACCGAAGGCCTCCGAGGGGCAGTGAGAGGAAACGGCTTCAAGCCAGGGCTCACGGCCCCGCGTCTGGCGTTGACGGCAGGCGGTGTCCCCAAGTACAGCGCTCACTGGGCACCACCCCACGTTCTGGGCGCTATACTCGTATTAGCTCACTGAGCCTCCATGACGCCGTGAGGGCGGGGCCGCGGCCACGGCCACGTACAGGTGAGCCAACTGGGAGGCTCGGGACTGGCTGCGCTCACGCAGCGAGGGAGGGCGGGGCGGAGACACTGGCCCAGGGGCCCACGCTGTCCGGCTCCGGGTGGCTCCGACCTGAACGGGCCCCCCCACCACACGCCGTACCTGAGCAGCGAAGTCGGGGTTCTGGGCGAGCGTCTGCATCATGCTGCGCATGTAGGGCGCGGAGATGACGTTCTGCATCAGCTGGGGGTTTTCTGAGATTTGCTGGAGCAGGGCCTGCATCTCGGGGCTGTTGAACACTCCTAGCACAGGGGGAAGACAAGAGACAGGGGGTCCAGATGGAAACCAGATGCCCCTCTTCCACTCCCTTACTTCCGATGTTGAGCATTTACTGAGCGCAGACGGGCGGCGAAAAACGGCCCCCAGTTCAGGGGCATGGGCCCCAGCTCCCGCCTGGCTTCAGCCCGGCCCCTCTCCCCACTGCTCTACTACGGACAAGCAGGTTGGAAACTGGGTCTCATTTGCAACCCCCACCCCCGCCCCCCCTTCCCCGTTACTGGAAAGGGTCTGACGGAAGTCACATAGACTCGTGGTTGGCAGTCTTTCTTAGTGGCAGAGGCCCTTTCCTCAAACCAGATGCCACTCTGATACCAACTGTGACAACGGTCTGGCTGGAGCCCCTCCCACTGGGTCCTTCCTCCTTCGGGGGAAAGTCCGGACCTCAGCACAATTTGAAAGCCATGGATCACTAAGGGGACTGGAGCGCACAGAGGCGCCCCCCACCCCCAGGATATCTACCGGAGATGTCCCCGGGGTCACATGTACAGTCACAGGCCAGATAAGGGGGCATCCCCAAGTTGTAAACACACCCCCCCCCGTCTGTCCGTGGCAGCTCTGCACATCCTTCTCCCCCAGCCTCACACCTGCCTGTCCCTGGGAGTGCCGATTCCTCCCACACCCTCCTCCCCAGGCTGACCCACTTCCCCTGGATGGTATCAGCAGTGCTGAGAGCTTAGGAGTGGGGCCTGCTTTCCTCTGTGCCGTCCCTTGGGCTGCTCCGGGGACGGCAGGCCACAGCCCAAGCCACCCCTCATCCCAAGGGGGTGGAGCTTCTGTCCCGGGCTGCAGACCCCTGCTCTGCGGCTTCAGCACAGGCTCACCTGTCTTCGGGATGCTGCAGCAGTGTGAGCCCCATTCAGTCCTGGGGCAGAGGGACTACCCTGGTGACCCCACTAAACTCCTTCCAGCCCAGGACATACCTGACCCCAGGCTAGCCGCATTGATCCCAAAGGGGTTGGAGACTGTCGGGTGCACCTGGCTGGTCCCCGATCCTCCGGTGCCCTCCCCCCCGGACCCGGGGGCCTGGGAGGTGGGGGGCGAGGGGCTCCAGGGGTTAGGGAGGGGCTCTCGGTTCTCAGTCCGCAGAGGCTGGGAGGACGAGCTGTCGGAGTTCCCGGCCAGGGAAGAGAAGGGGTTGTTGCCAAACTGGGAGGAGGGAAAGGTTCTGGGTTAAGGACGGAAACAAACCAGGGTGAGGGCTCGGCCCCCCCACGCCTCTCCCCTAACAGCCTCCCCTCCCCGGGAGAGGGAGGCAAGTGTGAGACCCCAGAGGCCCTCAGCTCCAGGTCTGGCCTCCAGGCAGGCAGCCACACCATCATCTTGCAGGGTGGCAGGTGGCCAGTGTGGGAGCCGCCAGGGGATGACGAAACCCCTCGGGTAGCTAGAAACTTCCCTCCTCCCCCCAGGGCTCCAAAGATTTGGTCTCTAGTCTCCCCTGGGCCTGTGGTACTTTACATACACCTTCTCATCGTGGAAGGACAGATCTGTCTTCCTCAGGCATTCAAGGGCACAGGCCAAGGTCACCTTGGCACACCACCCTTCCCCTGACACTAGTAGGTGCTCAATAAATAATCGTTGGCTTGCCGGGAGCTGGCTGGCTATTCAGCCCTTGTCTGCCTCTAGGGGGCGCCCTGTCCAGAGGCCTTGGCCCAACAGGACCCCCCCAGAGCCGAGGCACTCTGTCCCTCTGAGCACACGCAGGGGAGCCCCTCAGGCGCGCTCGTCTCAGGCTGGGCGTGCCCTCCTTCCACTGCCTCCCCGACGCGGTCTCCTCAGCCTCGTTCCTTCAGCTACACAGGCCCCTCGGCACCAAGCCGCCCACTTTCCCCCGGGATGGCCTCAGGGTCGGCACCGCATCACAGGCCGTGCCGCCCAAGGTGGCACCCGAACTTCCTCTGGATCCCGCAGCACCAGGAAAGAGCTCTGTCTGGGGCTGTGCTCGCCAAGGGGGTCCACGCCCCATTTTCCTGCTCTGGCCCATCCTGAGGTCCTGGGTGGTCCTCACGTCCGCAGCCTGGCCCCCTCCTCACTGCCAGGCTTCCTGTTCATCCAGAGCGGGTTGTGGGGACCAGAGTTAGCCAAGGCCCTCCTGCTCTGCCTTCCCCTGCCTTACCTGATGCCCGCTGGGATGACGGCCAGCAGGCCAGGGTCCATGCAGCCCAGCCTCAGGCTCTGTCCCTGTTTCACACTTCCCGTGCCCGTAACTCGCCTGGCACCCGCCCATCGCCACTGCCGGGTTCTGGGCCCCCGGGTTTTCCCTGTGCTCTCTATGGACTGAATCTCTTTCTGAGCCCCCACGGGCAATCACAGCTGCAATTTATTGAGCACCTACTATGCACCGGGCATGTTTCTTTAATGTTCACGGTAGCCCTCCAATGTATCAATTCTCAAAGTGTGGTCCTGGGACCCCTGCAAGGCTTAACACCAGTTTTATTCTGAGATGCCATCTGCCTTTTTTCACTCTTGTTTTCACAAGTGTTCAATGGCGTTTTCTGGAGGCTACGTGACATGTAATGCTGCACCTGACCGAGCGCAGAAGCAGAGCTGGGCCCGCGGCAAGCCAGATGGCGAGGGGGTCTGCAAAAGTTAGAACAGGGCCACTCTCCTCTAAAGTTTTGTTTTGGAAAATTAAGTTATTTTTTAAGCGAATGTGCTTTTTATGTTAATGTGTAGTGGGTTTACTGTTGTTTTAAAACGAATTAATCAACATTCTGTAAGTTTCTCAGTCTCAATTTCAAATACAGTGGGCATCGATAGACCCAACCCACAAAAACAAAACTTGTTGGGGTCCTCAGTAATTCTTAGGCGTAAATAAAGGGGTCCCGAGGCCAAGAGGGTGGAGAACCGCCACTTTATGATGTCGCCTCTGTTTTGAAAACGTGGATGTGGGGCCTGGGGGGCTCAGTCAGTTAAGCATCCAAGTTAGGCTCAGGTCATGATCTCACGGTTCATGGGTTCGAGCCCCGCGTTGGGCTCTGTAGTGACAGCTCAGAGCCTGGGGCCTGTCTTCGGATTCTGTGTCTCCCTCTCTCTCTGACCCTCCCTTGCTCATGCTGGCTGTCTCTCTCTCTCTCTTTCTCAGAATTAAATACATTAAAAAAATTTAAAAAGAAAAGAAAACGTGGATGCTAAGACTCAGAAAGGTTAAGCAACTAACTTAAAATTGCGCCGCTAACAATGGTGGGGCAGGGATTTGAACCTAGGTTTGTTGATCCCAAACATCTGTTCCTTTAGTTATTCCAGTGATTCTTACAGGTTAATGTGCATCAGAATTAGCCGGAGGGCTTGTTGTAAGCCTTTCTGGGCTGCTTGGGTTATTATTATTTTTTTAAAGATGCATGCATTACCTTGCTATCCATTTTTAATTAAATACTTAAATAAAACTTAAAGTAAATAAGTTTTTTTTAAAAACTCAGAGTTGATCCCGACAAGCACTTTCTAAGAGTTGAAAAGAGCAATGCCAATAACCAAGAAGCAGGGCGCCTGGGGGCTCAGTCGGCTAAGCGTCCGACTTTGGCTCAGGTCACGATCTCCTATGATCATGTGGGTTCAAGCCCCGCATCGGGCTCTGTGCCGACGGCTCAGAGCCTGGAGCTGCTTCAGATTCTGTGCCTCCTTGTCTCTCTGTTCCTCCCCTGCTCATGCTCTGTCTCTCAAAAATAAATTTAAAAAGTTAAGGGGCGCCTGGGTGGCTTAGTCGGTTAAGCGTCCGACTTTCGCTTAGGTCATGATCTCGCGGTTCGTGGGTTCGAGCCCCGCGTCGGGCTCTGTGCTGACTGCCAGCTCAGAGCCTGGAGCCTGTTTCAGTCTGTGACTCCCTCTCTCTCTGACCCTCCCCTGCTCCGCTGTCTCTCTCTCTCTCTCTCCTATAAATAAATAAAANGTCTGTGACTCCCTCTCTCTCTGACCCTCCCCTGCTCACGCTGTCTCTCTCTCTCCTAGAAATAAATAAAAAAAATAAAATAAAATAAAAAAGTTAAAAAGTTAAAAAAAAAAAAAAAGAAAAACGAGGAAGACATAGGAGAATGGGGCAGGGGGTTGCTCTACCAGGTGCCCAGACTTAATTAAGACAATGTGGTATCACTGTCAGGACAGACAGACCAGCAGGACCGCGTACAGTCAGGAAGACACACTTATTTGTGGAGACTTGGGGTAGGACAGAGGCGGCATGAAGACAGGGACCTGCTGGGACAGCACCGGCCACGCAGGACGTGGCACCTCGTGCGTAGGGAAAGAGTAACTTGAGGTCCCACCCTCCCCCCGGGCCCCTGGTTTGGGGGGAGGGGGTGTTCAGTTTGTGAAAATGCATCAAGCTGTACGCTTATGTGCACCTTTCTGAAGCTGTATTATTCTCCAATAACACATTTTTTTTTTTTAAATATTTTATTTATTTCTAGGAGAGAGAGAGAGACAGCATGAGCAGGGGAGGGCCAGAGAGAGAGGGAGTCACAGATTGAAACAGGCTCCGGGCTCTGAGCTGGCAGTCAGCACAGAGCCCGACGCGGGGCTCGAACCCACAAACCGCGAGATCATGACCTAAGCGAAAGTCGGACGCTTAACCGACTAAGCCACCCAGGCGCCCCTCCAATAACACATTTGTAAAAAATGTTTTTAAGAAGCAGGTTAAAATTATCTGAACAGCAGGATGCCATTTCTATGAGGCTTAAAAATATGCATAACAATACTATATGTTATTTATGGATACAAACGTAGGCCATAAAAGGATCAAGGCGGTAAACACCGGCTTCTTGGTGGCAGTTAGCGCCAGCGAGAGAAAGAGCCATAAACTGGGGCAGGGCTACATGAAGCTGCAATTCTTTCTGTGAAGGCTTATTTGCAGATATAAAAGATGCCCAGGAAAATATAAAAAACACTAACAACAGTCACGTCTGGGGTAGAAAAGAGGTGGCTGGGAGACGGACTAGGTCGGGTCCCTTTTGTTTACTTTGTGTCACTTCAGAACTCTGAAGCGTGTGAATGTTTGCATCATGTATTTAGTGTAAATTAAAAAAAAAAAGAACCCAAAATGCACGGAAACTATACATGGCAACACGTCAGGGCAACAGGGACATGAAAGAATGCGGATTTTCGTCTGCACTTATTATATATTTGGAAGAATCCATAGGCAGTTTTGAAAGTGCATATTCCCAGGGCCTGATTCCAGAGACTGAGTCAGTAAGAGGCTCGAAGGTGGGGACCAGGGGTCTGACGGTCAAGGAGCGCCCCGGGTGGTTCTGATGCAGGTGATCCGTGGGCCACACTTGAGACTGCCCGCCCCACGGCCTCTGAGCCCCCCACCCCTGCAAGAAGCTGTCAGATGATTTGCACTCCACACCCCACCCGCTTCCCGGGGCGGGGAGCGGGGGATCCTGCTACCTTCCGCCCCGTCCCCATGCCAGGCCGGACCGCCCCTGCCGGCGCTCTGAGAAGTCAAGGCCCACTGTCGGAGGGCCGCGTGGGGAAGAGGCTGGCTTGGGTCCGGGGACAGGGACTCCTGAGCCCCAACGGCCCTCCCGCAGCCCGGCCCCTGGTCCCACCTGTTCCCGGGCAGCGCTGAACATCGGCTCTTGGATGTCCGTGTACATGCGCCGGAGGGCGTTATAGCCCCCGGGGATGCTCTCCAGGTTGCTCAGGGCCCGGTCCTGGTTCCGCATCATTTCTTGCATCATGGCTGGATTTCGAGCAAGCTCCATCGTCTGGTGGAGAGGGAGGGAGAGAGGCAGGAAGAACCCAGAGCCAGGGGGGCACCAGGCTTGGACAGGGGTCGGCCTCGGCACTAGGGTCCAGGGCCCAGGAGCTGCCCCACAGCGGCAGGGGGGCAGAGAAATTCCTTCTTCTACTGTCATCTTGGCTCTGCCCCTGCCTCAGGGGTATTCTGCCAGGCTTTCTGTGCTGTGGTACAATGATCCGGAGGGGGTGAGGACAGCTTCCCTTCCTCAGGTCCAGGAGGCCCTCAGAAGGGCCAGGGAGCAAAAGGAAGTTGAGTAGGAAAGGACATGAGGAGGCGGAGGAGCCGCAGAGGAGAGTAACGTCGAGCACCTGCGGCACACGGTCCCCGGGCTAAGTAATTCACACAACGGAAGTCACGTGCTCCCCATGACAATCGTCCCAAGGAGATACCTCTGTCCCTATTCTGCAGACGGGGAAACAGGCTGAGACTCACCGGGGGCGCACAGGCAGTTAGTGGTGGGGCCAGGTTTTGAGGCCAGATTGCTCTGTCTGCCCACGACCATACTGTGGTTCCCGGAAGGTGACCACACGTTGGGGAGGGAAAGGATTCACGCTGGGGCCACACGACCAGCACCCTCTATCCCCACCCCCAGGGCTCTGGCCTGGCCAAACCTTGAGAAACCTGCAGACGGGATGGGGGCGTTCTCTCTGGAGCCAAGGGCTCCCTCTCAATAGGGGCTGGCCTGGGCCAACTCCCGGGGCAGCAGTGCCTGGTGGGGACAAAGGGCGCCCTGCCCGGGATGCCTGCCCCGTCCCTACTCCCAGACCCCCGCACGGGCTCTCTAAAACACCCTTCCGCCTAAGCCCGGGCCCTGACTCCTTACCCCGTAATCCATTCATTCATCAAGTGTTTCTGGACTGACTCAAACACCAGGAGCCGTTCTAGACAGTGAAGAAAACACTCGCCAATCCTTGCTCTGAAGGCACTTATCTCCTGGGGAGCCCAGTACTGGTGCCCACAGCTCCACTGATGTCACCTATGCTCGTCCCCTGAGGGCCTGGGCCATGAAACAGAGCTGCCAAAGACCGACACAAAACCCTCGCTGCCAGGGTCCCGTGGCCCCCAGCTCTGCCCAGCCACGACACTCCCCGGATACCCTACTATCTTTTACATCCGGGCCTTTGCACTTGCTGTCCCTCAGGCCTGAACACTTTCATCTTTTTCTTCCTCTGGCTCACAGCTTGGGCGACGCTTCCTCCAGGGCCTTCTCTGGGCTCCGGGTGGGGTCAGGAGCCCTGCTCTGAGGGACTCCTGCGACTACAATAGCACCAACCACACTGCATTATAGTTGTGTGCTTTCTGGTCCCGTTTCCTTTTGAGACCAGAAGTTGCTGGAAAGCTAGGCCTGGGCCTTTTCGCCACTACGCCCCCACTGTTCAAAACACGGCTGTTGGATGAGCAGGTAGAGAAGCCAAGGCAGGACGAGGTGGGAAAAGTCCGGCGTGGCCGGTGTCCTGCCCGTCCGCGCCCCGGCCTTCCCTTGCGCTTACCTGCCTCATGAGCTCCGGGTTGTTGAGCATGTGGCTGATCTCAGGGTTCCGCTCCATCAGCTGCTGCATCTGGGGGTTGGCCATGATCATGTGACGCATCAGGTCGGGGTTGGACATCATGTCCTGGACCAGGGGGTTCTCCATGATCTGCGACAGCATCTCGGGGTTGGACATCAGTTGTCTCTGCATCTGCTGTTGCAGCTCCATAAAGTTGGCGGAGCCCAGGCCCAGGCTGCCCAGGCCCAGGAGGCCCCCGAAACCAGCTGCGGGGAGGGGGCAGGGTCACAGCCGGCCGCCAAACCCTGCCCCCCACCCGGCGTCAGCCACTGAATTCAGGTCTCCACGACGGGCCCTGTCTGCTTCTCGCATCTCCCCTTTAGAAGCATCTCCCCTTTGCAGCCCTTCCCCTGACCCAAGCCCTGGCGCACTGCCGGCAGAGCAGACCGCGACCTCTCCGGAAGCAGCGTCGGCCCGGCACCGAGCAAAGAGGGTGGCCAGCGATGGGCTGCTGAATGAGCATAAACATTCCCCAGCTGGCTGCTGCTGGACCCAGCTTATTCCCAGACTCCCCTATCCTCACCCCGCATTCCCCACATCCTCAACCTCAGTTCTTCTGTCCCTCTTAACATTCACCCATGCGCCCCTCCTCTGGGAGGCCCTCATGGACTGATTTCCTCCCCTTCTCCACTCAAGCACCATGTCTGGAACCCTATGTCCAGGGGTCCCCAGTCCCCATCAGACCAGGAGCAGGGCCCGGGCTTCTGCCTCCCCTTGGCTCTCCCCCGCTCCCGAGCCCAAAGCAGGGCTGTGGCCTCTCCCTAAGGCTTACAGAGTATGGACGCAGTAGCACTGGGGGGCCCCTCCCCAGCCCCCGGGGAGGGCCCCCCCCCACTGCTCCTCCGGCTCCCGCTGCCAGCATCCGAAGGGGCGCTGCCAGAGGTGGAGGGCTGGGCAGGGGCTGTGGGCGAGGCGGGCGTGGTGGAGGGTGCGGAGGCAGGGTCTGGAGTGGAGGGGGAGGAAGCTGTGGTGGCGGCGGGATCTTGAGCCCTGAGGACAGAGAAATGAAGTGCCAGCAAAGTGAACTCCAAAGGGATCTCGGAGCCTCTACTGCCTCTACTACCCCATCGCAAGCCACCTCCCCAGCAACCCTCAGGCGGGGGTGGGGTAATGCCGGGGGCAGTTAGTAACTGGGCGGAGGGAGAAGCTAGTAAGGCTGCCTCCAGGGCATCCTGGGACGGGAGTCCTGTCCCCTCAAGGGAGACCCTGGGGCTTGGCAGGGCCCTCCATGTTCAGCTGCGTGCCGGGTGAGACAGGTGGGGACAGGAGGCCCAGTCAGAAGTCGGAGGTGCCTCTCTCCCACTTACTTCTGAGGGGTCTTGATGACCAGGTGGACAGTGAGCCCATCCTTGATCCCGTGCTGGTGCAAGGTGTCCCCGTCCTTGAGAATCTTGCCTGCGAAGATCAGGACCAGCTGATCCTGCTGAGCCTTAAACCTCCTGGAGATCTCCTCTTTGAACTGTGGTCAAGAGGCAGAGGTCACTGCAGACCCTCCCTGGGCTCCACCCACCAGGGACCCTGCCTCTAGCCCGGGAAGTCCCTTCTGTGGTCTCAACTCCAGCCGTCCTGAGACAATAAACAGCCCCGGTGTTAACCAATGAGAAGGCCCGGGTGACGGTCCCCTCTCAGCCCAACCCCAGGGTCTCCCATCCCAGGAGGCCCCTGCTGCTCCCTACCACCCCCTCCTCATTCCCTCCACCCAGCTCCCTGTGAGGGCCCTGCCCTGCTGGCCCCTGCCCGCCCCCCGCCCCCCCGCAACAGCTTTCCACCCAGGCGCTGTCTCCCTGGCCTTCCGTTCTGACCCCCCATCTCCTCTCCGCACACCCAGCCTCTGGCAACAACTAGGACAAACACACATCCCTGTTATTTAAAACAGCACTGACTCCTCAGGAGTTTAAGAGTTTCAGCCCCACGAGATACGTATGAATCATTATCTCCATTTTAAAGATGAGAAAGCTGAGGCTCAGGGCAGTCATGTAACACGCACTGGAACTCGGGACTGACCCCAAAGCCCCAGCTCTTGACCAAACACTCGGTCTCTCAATTAAAGCTGACTTCAAATTCAGCTGGGCAGGGCAGAGAATGTAAGTTCTGGAATGTAGCCACTGTACAAGGGGAGAGGGGACGGTGATGGCACTGAAGACTGGCTTGGGGGAGACTGAGACTCCCCAAACCCATCAGCCCTCCCCTCCAAAACACACCCCAACAAACCAAAACAGACACTCAGTAAAAAGAGTGCACTTGCTCAGCAAAGGCGGCCTCCGGCTCGGCTCGCTTCCTTCCAACCAGATGGCCTGGGTTAAGCCCCGCCTGTGTGAAACCGTGCAGCGGCCACAGGAGGTGCGAACTCAGGCGAGGCTCCCCCATTCACTCATTTAACACACTTTTATTGAGCACCTACTGCACACCGTAAGCCCCAGAGGGGCCGAGGGCCGACTGTAACCACCTGATTTGGGAAGGTAGGAAGGATACGGGCCCCGGGGAAATGCTCCCCCGGCGCCCCGCGTCCCAGCACCCGGAGGCGCCCCCCGCCCGCTCCCCTGGCGCAGCGCGGTGCCCGGAGCCCGCCCGGCCTCGGCGCCCTGGCCCCCGGCCGTTCCCCGCGGCGCACGCCGCCCTCAAAGCCCGGGTCCTTCCCCTGCGCGGTGCCAGGTGCCCCCTCCCCACTCTCCGCCACGCCCCCAGCCCAGGCCACAAGGCGCGCCCCGGCCTCGCGTCCGCCGCACGCGCCGCGCTCGCCCGCTCCCCCGCGCCGGACGCCCCCAGCCCCGCTCCGCGCCTCCCGCCCCTCCGGGAGCCTGCGGGGCCGGGGCCCCCGCCCGCCGCCCCGCCGCCCCGGGGCCACCCCTCTCCTCGCCGACCCCTCCTCCGCGACCCTCGCCGCGCTTACTACCTCCTTGACGGAGGCTCGATCGCAGATCACGATTTCCTCCTTGTCCTTGGGGGTCTTGACGGTGACCCGAATGGGGGGCCTGGCCTCAGCCCCGCTCGGCTCCGCCATGCCGCCGCCGCCACCCGGCCGCCCGCCAGCCCGCCCCGGCTCCTCCTCCTCCTCCTCCTCCTCCTCCTCCCCGCCCGGCCGCCCGCCCGGCCGGCTCTGCTCCGGCCTCCGCCCCTCCGCCCCTCCGCCCCCCCTGCCCTGCCCTCCCCTCCCCGCGGCCGCGCCGCCCTCCGGACCGGCGGCGCCCACAGCGCCCCGGGCGGCCTGGGGGGGCACTGCAGCCGGGGCCGCGCCGCCGCGCCCGGCCCCTCGGGGCGGGGCGGGCTCCCCGCGACAGCCCGCAGCCAGCCCAGGCCGGCCGGCTCCGCGGGACCCCCGCTCCGGGACACCGCGCCGTCCCCGGCACCGCGCTGGCTCCGTTCCCGGGCCCTTCCCGCGTCGGAGGCTGGATTCGCCGACGTCCGGACGTCCAGCCACCTCACCTCTAGGACCGAGTGTGCCCCGAGGTCGTGGCCCGCACGACGCTACTCAGGACGGCTCGAGGCCTGGGTTCGGCCGCTGCGGCCTTTCCGAGCCTCGGTCTCAGGCCACAGGGTTGTGCGTAACGGAGGAAACTGCTTTCAAAAGTAACAAACGTGTGCCTGACACATTCGGGGACTGCTGTTTTCAGTTACTGGTCGGGGACTGTCAAGCGGGCACGGTGACGCCTCTGCCCCCGGGGAGTGGTCACACGTCCTTCCAGCGCTGCCACTGTCCTTTTCGCTCCCGCTCTTTTCCCCCCTCAACCGCGTGGTCCCCCGGGAAAGGCGAACTACAGTTCCCAGGGTGCGCCGCGGGGCCGCACCGAACTACGACTCCCGGCGCCCCCCGCGGCGGGGCGGCGTTGCGTCGCCACCGCGGAGCGCGGCCGGGACCTCCGGGTCGCGCGGCGTTCCGGAGCGGCCGGGAGCGCGGGGAGGTGCCGGCGGAGGCTCGCGGGAGGTGGCTCGGGGGCTGGCGCGGAAGTCGGGGCGCGGGAGCCGCAGGCATGCTGCGTCCCAAGGCTTTGACCCAGGTGTTGAGCCAGGCCAACACAGGGGGCGTCCAGAGCACGCTGTGAGTGCAGTGCGGACGGGGCGGGCGAGCGGCGAGCCCGGGGCGCCCCGGGGGAGGGTCTCCGGCACGGGAGGAGGGCGGGGCGGCCGCGGCCGGAGGCGTGGGGGCGGGGGGAGGCCGGCGCGAGGCTCCCGGGCACGCTCTGGACGGGCTGTGCCCAGACGCCTGCTTTCTGCAAGCGCCCCGGCGGGAGGTGGGGCTTTTTTGTCGCCGCTGCCGGCACGTCCGACCCCTCGCCGCCGCTCGCCAGGCTGCTGAATAACGAGGGCTCTCTGCTGGCCTACACCGGCTACGGGGACACGGACGCGCGGGTCACCGCGGCCATCGCCAGCAACATCTGGGCCGCCTACGACCGGAACGGGAACCAAGCCTTTAATGAAGACAATCTCAAGTTCATCCTCATGGACTGCATGGTATGGAGAGCAGAGCCACTTCCTCTGTCCCCCAGGGGATCCCCGTGGGGCGACCTGGTCCCCATCCTGGAAGGTTGGAGTGGCAGGGACAGGGCCTCTGAGGGCTGGTAAGAGTTGGTCTGCGCAGCATTACGGTGGGGCAGGACCCTCTGCCTCAAGGGGTGGTGGGGAAGGAGCCAGGCACCTGGGCTCCTGGGCTCCTGGGCTCAGCCAGCCAGCTGACATTTGTGGAACCTCGGGTAAGTCACTCAACCTCTCTGAGCTTCTGTAGCGCATCTCTAAGGACACGGTAATACCCCGAACTCGCGTGCGTGCACACATGCACACAGGTTGTTGCGAAGAGCAAAAGAAAGGACATAACACCGTACAGTGCTGTCATCCAGATTCGAGGACTCACAGAAGCACAGCTGAGTCTCAGACTCGAGGCCTGTCCCTGCAATTTACAGAAAAGGGAGCTGCAGTCTAGAAAGGGGAAGTAGCCATTAGACTCTGAATTTCCAGGAAACAGAAGCTTTGTGTCTGTTGGGCCAACAAATATTCAGGTTCCCGCAGTGTTCTCCGGACTAGGAAAAAAGTAGCAAACAGGACAGACGAAAAACCGCAGCCCTAACTCCTCACAGAAGCTCACGGTTTTATGCATGCCGTAACATATGCCTAAGTTAAAATACTAGGATATTAGGTATTGAAAACGTGATGGGAAAGGAAGTGAGGTGGGGCGTATGGCAGGAACCATCTTACTGGAAAGGTGACATTTCATTATAAAGTTCTGAAGGAAGTTGGCAAGCCGTGTGGCTGTCTGGGGGAAGAACATTTCTGACCGAACAGCAAGTGTAAAGGCCCTGAGGCAGAGTAATATCTGGTCAAGGATCAACAAGGTTGATGTAGCTGTACAGCATGGGAATGGGGGAGGTGAGTAGAGGTGAGGCCAGAGAGGCAGGGAGTGCAGCACCTGGCTCCCAGCACACAGCAGATGCCCAGGGGAAGTTTGCCGAACCAAACCGAAAAGGCCCAAGAGTGAGCGCTCCCCTAAAGATTTCCACTGTAACCGGGCTGCCTACCTTACCCCCACCCCACGCCTAACCAAGGACGCCATTTCAGTTCAGCTGATGACTGCTCCTTGGTCCCTGACCTAGGATGGGTGCTGTAGAGCAATGACTTTCCAACATCTTGTCCACGCCTCAGCCCTTAGAAACGCCTGTTAGGTCAGAGCCCAGTACACCCGCCCCCCGCCCCAACACGCACACACTAAAACAAGTTTCACGAAACAGTACTTCTCTTACCACATGCGGTGCGCTCCGTTTCTCTTCTTTTTAGTGGTGATCCACCTCTTTACTGATCTAACCCTAGAGTCAGACCTGCGATTTGGAAAACATTACCATAGGAAGAGAGAACTCTACCTTGGGCTGTGGCTCCCAAGCTCCTTGCAGCGTCTGTGGTTGGGGTGAACCCTTAGTAAAAACATCACCTGCTTGGACAGCCCTTTGCGGTTTTAAATCCCCCTCCTGTGTACCCTTACTTGCTGGCATGATGTGGGGTCACAGAGAGAAACCAAGTTGCTGGGAGGTTGAGTTTCCCACAGTAAGTAAGTAGGGGGCCGTGCCGAAGCTGGAGTCAGAACCCAGGATCCCGTGTCCAGGGCTGTGGCCAGAGCCCCTGGTCTGCAGCTCCTGTCGTGCGCAGGGCAGGGAAGGAACAGTCTTTCTGAAGAGGAGCCCTTGGGAAAAGAATGGGCTGAAGGTGCCAAGCAGAGCGTCACATCCCACGATCTCACCCCCACCAGGAGGGCCGTGTAGCCATCACGCGGGTGGCCAACCTTCTGCTGTGTATGTACGCCAAGGAGACCGTGGGCTTCGGGATGCTCAAGGCCAAGGTGTGTACGTGCTCATCTCTACAGCCCTGAGCCCAGGCTTGTGCTCTTCAGTGTCCCCTCTGTCCCCACCGCCTTCCTGGAGCCTGTGTCTGGTGGAGGCGGGGCACCCAGCGGCAGGAGCACGCCTGCCCTGGGACCCCTGTAGCGGCAGAGCTCGTGTGGGCCTGACTTCTGTCCCCTCCTGCAGGCCCAGGCTCTGGTGCAGTACCTGGAGGAGCCCCTCACCCAAGTAGCCGCGTCCTAGTGAGCCGCCTCGGCTGCAGCTGCGGGTCAGGAAAGATCAGTGACCATTCGGAGGGCCGGGGCTCTCTGGGGAAACCTTTCCGGGCTGTGCGGGGAGGCTGAGACTTTTTTCCAAGAATAAACTTGAACTCCTGTCTTGTGTGATGGCTGCTTTCGTGAATGGGAGGAGTCCGAAGAGGTGGGAAGGAGCAAGGATTGCTCTGGAGACTCTGGCCGCTCCTCATCTGCCCTCCGGCAGCCAGGCGGCTCCGGCAGCGATGCCTTTGGCCTTTCCGGCAGCGGGACTTACCGGCCTTGCTGCAGGGAGCGGTTTACCCACCTGACTGGCACAGCTTGGGTGTGCTCTCGAAGGAGCAGGACGCTGGTGGGGATCGTGCTGGACAATGATATTTTGGGGCCCTGCAAGTCCAGTGTCTTCCGGTCCCAACTTGGGGGGGGTGGTTGGAATGCCTTTTCTGCTCTTGGAGTTGAAAGAGTGCTTGCTAGCCACCCACACGGGGCCACTGCGTTCACAGACCCTCCAGGTCTCGGAGCCCTTTGCAGCCGGCGTGGCTTCACTATGGGGCCCGACACCCCGGGGTGGGAGTAGGAGGAATCCAGAAGCTCTCAAAGCCCTTCACCTCAGCTCCTTTCCTGCGCGCAAACTCCTCAGCCCATCCATCTACTGCTCCTGGTCTCCCCTTACCCTGGGTCCCTAGAGCAGGTGTGGACAGGGAGCCGCCAGCCCCGAGCCCAGCGCCACAGGAAGGGACCCATCCCAGGGGAGAGGTAGGAGGTGAGTTTCAGCCCCACCCAGGGTGAGGAGCACTGCCCATCCCAGGCCCTGGGCCACTGGGAGGAGCTGCTGCCAGAACTCTGGGAGCGATGGGCACCATCAGCCCCAGCCCTTCACCCCAACAGCCCTTCCCCGGGGGGCCCCCAGTCACCCCTCACCAGAAATCCTGAAGGAAAAGCAGGAGGCCGAGTAGGTTTCCGCTTCCTGGGAGGTTATTTCTCACTCACTGCTGGCTGCCCAGCGGGGTCCCGGGTCCCAGGAGCCTAGCAGCGTGGCTGCAGGGGCCGTCCGGGTCCCAGCTTCCCCTCCCTAACTCCCTCTACCCCGCCCCCCGCTGGCCTGTCCTGCCGCCGGAGCCCAGGCTGGGAGAGCAGACACCCAACCTGCCTAACCTGTCTGACGTCATCATCTCTCCGCCCACCTGGGCCCCAGGTCCGCCGCCTGCTCTTCCTGTTCTGTTCGTCCCTTGGCTTCCTCGCAGCACCCGTCAGTGCTCAGCCCCCCTGCCTGCGGAATTTCCTGACCCCCAATGAGAGGAGGCGCGGACCCAGGTCTCCGGAGAGCCGAGGGCCAAGGGCACTGAGTCAGCGCGTCGCCCCGTCACCTCTGTCCCCGAAGACACCTGTACCCTCCATGCGGAGCCAAGATGGGGAACAGAAGCGAGGAAGATTATAACTTTGTCTTCAAGGGTGAGTCGGGGTCTATAAAGAAAGAGACCAGCAGAGCCAGAAACGCCCGCTGGTCCTGTTTCTTTTTTTATCTCTCACCTGGACCCCCGAGGGCTCCTCATTCGCTTTGGATTAGAAAGAAAGCTGCAGGGAGTGGGGGAGGGTCCGGTGCCTGGGGCAAAAGTCCTGGGGCTCCCGGGAGGCCCTGCTGCTGTCAATAAGGACGCTGAGCGAGCCTGAGTGGGGCCGAGTTGGGCCCCTCTGCGCGGAGCCGAGAGGAAGCCCCCATCCCGAAGAATTGTCAGCCGCTGCCGCACAGGGGATGGAGGTCAGACTTCAGAGAGGACTTCCCTCCTGAGAAGACAGGCAAGAACCTCTGTGGAAGAAAGTCCTGTTTGGGGGCCCATGTGCAGGAAAGGAAAGAAAGGACAGCTCTGGCCATTTTGGGGCAAAGACGGAAGATCTCATACCTTGAGAGCGGGGTCTAATAGAACCTGGAAGACGGAGGGCTGGGGCCTCGCCCGCTGCCCCTCGGCAGCCCCTTTGGGCACTTGGGTTCAACTTGGCTGACCGTGGAAGCATGGCCTTTCCTCTCCTTTACCTCAGCCCCGACATGGGACCCGCTATGTCCCCCAGCCCCCACGCACCCCCACCCACGCCTCCTCCAGGGCCGGGCGGACCGGCAGAGCCATGATTCCCGGCCAGCCACCCCACCCCTCTGCCTCTCCCAGCCTTAGCCGCGCCCTCACTCAAGCTGGGACTCAGGCCGCCGGGGCCATGGGTGGGGGGTGGGGGGTCTGTGCTGTGCTGGCCTGTCTCCCAGGAAGGGGAGGCTGGGGCCGTGCTGCTACTAGAAACTGCTCTTTCCTGAGCTCTCAGCGTGTGCCCGTCCCCGGTTCCTTAGTCACTCTAACGACCCCAAAATGTATCTCTCATTTTGAAAGTAGGAGGCGCCAGGCGGACCGCGAGAGGTCAGCTGTGTCGGTTACCGGTTAGTGCAGGTTGGGGTCTCGGAAGCTGACGCTAAGACGTCTGGGGTATAAGATGTCTATTCTGGATCAACACCGGTACGAGGAAGGGAGCGGAAGCAAGACCGAGCAGGGGGAGAAGCATTGTGCAGCTCAGGGTCACAAAGCCTCAGCCAAGGGTGGGGAGCGTTGCCCTGGCCTTGCCTGGACGCCGGATGCGGGCGGCCCAGGACAGCCAGGGCCCCGGGCGAGGCCTCGCCCCCCCCAGCAGGCCGCCCACCGCAGTCTCTGCCCCTGGGCCGAGGCCCCTCCTGGAAGGCACCCCTGGGCTGCCCACCTCTGCGTTTGCCACACCGGCGGTGGCATCTGGTGCAGGGCACTTAACCCCAAGTGCCTCCGTTTCCTCGTCAGTGACAATGTGACAGTGTGACAACGCCAGCGCCCACCTCTGGCACCGCTGCAAGAATTACACGTGTTAATGCGTGTGAGGCCCTGGGGGCGGCGCCCGGCCAGGTCAGGCGCGCTATCAGTGCGAACCACGGCTGTCCCCGTTCCGCAGATGAGGACGCAACAAGTGGCCACAAAGCCCGTACTCAAAGCCAAGTCTGTCGGACCCCAAGGCCCTTGCCCTGAGCACCTTTTGGGCCCGAGGGGAGGGATAGGAGCTCACCCACCGGCAGGGGTGAGATGAGAATGAGGTTCCCAGTCGCGGGGAGGCAGGGACACACACCCACCCTGCTCCCAGCTCCTGCCTGCCCTACACAAGTTTGGGGGGACGTCACACAGTTTACAAACAAGGACACTGAAATCCAGAAAAGCTGAGCCCGCCAGTGAGAGACTGAGCGGGGTGGCAGTGCCCGGAGTGTGTGGCTCCCAAGCTTTTCCGGAAACTGGTGGGGAGGGGCCTCCTGTCACCCTGGACGCTCGCTCTGTGTTGCACAATTTGTGGGTCACACTTGCATCAGGCCCCCTTGCCCTCCTCTGGACCCCAGCTCCCTCATGGTGGGCACACCTGGGCCCCAGGCGCTGCCCACCTGCCCAGCGGCTCTTTGTGGCCCCACTGGCGGGTCCTGGGCCCCGGAAACCCGACTGTGATGGCGCTGGCCTGCGCACAGCCACCATGATGGTAACGGTTTTGCACGCTCACTGCAGCTTGGGCAATATCTCCCTTATTTCTTGCAAAAACTGGTCAAATAGTATCGTTATTCCCATTTTTCATACGATAAAGGTCAGGGTAGGTAGGCCGGCCCAACACCAGCCCCACGTTCTGACCCATGTCCCTCCGTGAGGACCGCCTACACCCCTGCGCCCCTCTCTCCCACGGCTGTGTCACTGCCACGCGCTCTGCTCCCCACATTTCCGTTCACACGGCGGCTCCCCACACCCGTGCATGCACGCACACGGCACACCTCCTCCTCGTTCTCACAGCTCACACACAGCCACGGGCACAGCGCTGTCCGTCCCGGACCGCCTACCCCTCCATCCGGATGCGCACGCCCGCCCCGAACCCCGACACCCACAGACGGCGCCGCGTCGCAGGAACGCAGGCTGACGGTGCAGCCACATCTCCACGGACCGGGCCAAGAACCCTTACAGGCCCACAGCCCGTTTCAGGCTCTGGGCCCTTCTCCCGGGAAGGATGCATCCTGCAGGGGGGGCAGACCCCGTGTCTGCCGGGAGGCCTGGGTCCCCCTCGGTGTCCTGAGCTCAGCTCCCTTTCCGGGTGGACGGACCCCTGAGCTCAGCCCGTGTCTCTCCACCCCTTCAGTGGTGCTGATCGGGGAGTCAGGAGTGGGGAAGACCAACCTGCTGTCCCGATTCACACGCAACGAGTTCAGCCACGACAGCCGAACCACCATCGGGGTGGAGTTCTCCACGCGCACGGTCATGCTGGGCACCGCTGCCGTCAAGGCTCAGATCTGGGACACGGCCGGCCTGGAGCGCTACCGAGCCATCACCTCCGCGTGAGCCTGGGGGCTGGTGGGGGGGCTGCTGGGGAAGTCAGGGCGCGGCCCTGGAGCAGAGGCCACAGGCCCCCGGCGGGACACGGGTGGGTGCTGTGAGCCACGCAGCCTGCGGCGGGACGCTGTGGCCCCTAGGCACTCCTGAGCCCTTGCTGCATGTCCAGGGAGGTACAAGGCGCTTTCCCTGGGCATTTGGTGTAAATCGCCAAGACATGCTGTAGTCGATCCCTGCTATAATGCATGAAGCCCGAAGCCCGAAGCCCCAGCAGGTTCAGAGAGGGTGCACCCGGGAGGGGGGGGCTCTGGGACCCTCACGCCTGCTTCGCACGCAGCCACAGCCACCATCTCACCACACACCCGAAGGGCAGGACCCTTCAGCTGCATTTTACAAAGAGTCAGGCTACGGAGGGCCACCCGCCTCTGGGCGCCACGTGGAACATTTGCCAGTGTCAGGCCGGACGTGGGGAAGGTGGTTGTGCGTGTGACGGAGGACAGCACCGGCCGCGGGGCAGGAAGCAGGAGTCCAGGGCCTCGGTCCACACTCACCACTCCTGGACTGGTCCCCTGGGCTCTTATGAGCTTCAGCTGTTGCATCAGTAAGATGGAAAATCAGAGATCACAGCCTGAAGGAGCCCCATCCCACGCCACGGGGGAGGCTGAGGGTTTGCAGGGACGCCTCAGATGGTCAGCTCAGGCACTGCAGCAAGGGAGAGGCTTGTAGCTGCTCCTTGAAAGGTGGCCTGGGGGGGGGGGGCGCTGTGGGCACAGGAGCCATGTGGGGACCGTGCCCACTGAAAGCGGGCGTCCAGGAGGCCGAGTTGATCAGGGTGCACATGCTTTTCGGTGGACCTGCAGGGCTAACATCAGAACAAAGGGTCCCAAGGGCGCCTGGGAGGCTCAGGTCATCTTGGGGGGTGCCTGGGAGGCTCAGTTTGTTGTATCTGACTTCGACTCAGGTCATGATCTCACAGTCTGTGAGTTTGAGCCCCGAGTCGGGCTCCACCCTGATCGTTCAGTCTGCTTGGGATTCTCCGTCTCCCTCTCTCTCTACCCCTCCCCCCCAAATAAATAAGTAAACTTAAAAAGAACAAAGGACCCCAGAAAGCAGTGGCTAGAAAGGCAGGAGGAAGGAAGGAAGGTAGCCCGGGAGGACTCTCAGCCTCAGACGCAGGAGCCTTGAGTTGCCGCGTCTAGATTTGGGTCCCTGGGCCCCAGCTTTCATATTGCTCCACGTCTGGTGCTCGTCCCTGACCTTGGCCTGAGGGCTGTGCACTGACCTTGCCTCTGCTGCCCCTGCTGCGCCCCATGCAGGTACTATCGGGGTGCGGTGGGGGCCCTACTAGTGTTTGACCTGACCAAGCACCAGACCTATGCTGTGGTGGAGCGCTGGCTGAAGGAGCTCTATGACCACGCCGAGGCCACCATCGTCGTCATGCTCGTGGGCAACAAGAGTGACCTCAGCCAGGCCCGGGAGGTGCCCACTGAAGAGGCCCGGATGTTTGCTGGTGAGAGCCCACTGCCATCCCGCCCCTGCCCCCGCCCTAGGGCCCCAGCCTGGACTTCCCCCATGGGGCCCCCCACCTCCATCGCCTCTTCCTCCCAGTGCCTCAGCCCTCCCCTTCTGTGGGCCGTATCCCTCCTTATGCTCCACCGCTTGACCCAGGGTTGTCTTTGTTTATTTTTGAGAGAGAGACACAGGCAGGACAAAAGTGGGGGAGGGTCAGAGGAAGAGGGAGACACAGAATCCGAAGCAGCTCCAGGTTCTGAGCTGTCAGCACAGAGCCCGACGCGGGGCTCGAACTCACAAACCGTGAGATCATGACCTGAGTCGAAGTCAGACACTTAACAAACTGAGCCCCCCGGGCGCCCCCCAGGATTCCTTTATGGGCAATAATTTTGTCCCTGGTGTTAAAGGCCAGGCCCCTCTGCAATGCTGAGGGGCCCCGAGTGGGGCAGGTGCGCTCCCCATGGCCATCTCCAGTCACGCTCTCCCAGGAGTCTGCTGGGCTCAGAGGCAGCAAGCTGCAGCAGGTACGGGTGCAGGGCGGGCTCCGGGGGCCCACGGCCCAGCCTCACTAGATGCGGGACAGCCAGCAAGTCCTTTGTTGATGCTCTTGGTGCTTCTGGTCCTCCTTCCGCTTCTGTAAAGAAGGGATAATATTCAAACCTACCTCACAGGTTTTTAGGCGTTAAATGAGCTCCGCATGCCAAGGGTTTAGCACATCACGAATGTACAGAGTAAACATCAAGTAAATATTATTGTGCTTCTCGGGGCGCCTGGGGGGCTCAGTCCATTGAGCATCCAGCTTCAGCTCAGCTCATGATCTCACAGATCGTGGGTTCGAGCCCCACATGGGCTCCATGCTGACAGCTCAGAGCCTGGAGCTGCTTCAGATTCCGTGTCTCCCTCTCTCTCTGACCCTCCCCTGCTCACGCTGTCTCTGTCTCTCAAAAATAGGTAAAACATTAAAAAAAATTTATTATTGTGCTTCTCTTCCTGCCAGAAAACAATGGATTGCTGTTTCTGGAGACGTCAGCCCTGGATTCCACCAATGTCGAGCTGGCCTTTGAGACCGTCCTCAAAGGTTAGAGCCCCTGCCTGCATTTGGCACCCCCCACCCCATCCCATGCCCGAGGCTCCTGTGGGCAGTGGTGGGACTGCGGGCGCCCAGCCCTTGCCTACCCCAGATGGTTCCTCAGCCCCTCTGTGGGCCCCCAGACTCCCCAGAGCCTCCCTAGCCTGAGGCTTGGGGAAGGAACCAGAAGGCTACACTCCCCAGGGAGCCAGGCATTAGCCCTTCACCCAAGTAAGTAGCAGGGACCCAGGTGCCCAAACTCCACTTCCTTCCAGCGAAACCTCCTGGCCTGGCCACACCTGGCGCTCAGCAAGGCCAGTGCGTGTGTGTATGGGGGGGGCTCTCAGTCTTCTGACCCGATCCCTGCCCTCCACCCCCTCAGAGATCTTCGCAAAAGTCTCCAAGCAGAGGCAGAACAGCACCCGGTCCAGCGCCATCACCCTGGGCAGCACCCAGGCTGGGCAGGAGCCGGGCCCGGGTGAGAAGAGGGCCTGCTGCCTCAGCCTCTGACCTTGGCTCACACCAACCCTGACCCCATGGCCTTCTGGCACCCCCTCCCACCCAGCTCGGGGACCCGTCCCTGCCCTGTGGCTTCAGATGTCAGGGCGGCTTCCCTGTTCCCAGCCCCACAGACCACAGGGCTTTGAGATCATCACGGTCCCCCCAACTCCCCGGGGTCTCTATTACCTGTTCCCTCCCCCCGCCACACACTTGGTCTTCCAATAAAACTGTGTTTTGTACCAATGTCTGGCCATCTTGCTGCTCCCATCCCTGGCTCTCCTTCACCTCTGGACCCTCTGGGCTTCTCTCCCCCTCCCCCCTCCCCCCCACACCCACCATCCCCCGGGCCAGCTGCCTCTAGAGTCCTGCGGTCTGGGGACAGTGCCAAGGGGGGTGGGAGGTACCCAGCCTTCCCTCTGCCAACCCCCAGGGCGGGGGGGGGGGCAGCAGGGCCGAGATGGGGTATCTGGAAGGAGAGACAAAGGAAATCACCGGCAGGCACCATCTGGTGCCCAGGGCCCTGGTGCCAAGAACTGAGGTCACTCCAATGCCAGGGGTGAGGGGAGGAGGCAGGGGAGGTGGTGGAGGGAAGGGGCGTGTGCTGGGGAAGGGGATTTAAGCCTGGGAGGTGGGAGGTCCAAGTCTCTCACCCAGGTTGCTGCCTGACCCCCAGAGACGCCCCCCCAGGAAAGGGAGTGTGGTGTGGGGGGTGGGTTCAACCTGGCAGGATGGGAGGAGTGTCTCCGGCTGTCCGGGCAAGGTCTCGGCCACCCAGCCTCCCCCAGGACAGGCTGCACGCACCCCCACCCCCAGGAGGGCACTGGGCACCTGGGGACCCAAGCAGGGAGCTGTGGGCCACAGTGGGCGCCGTCCCTCCCCTGCCCCGCACAGGGGGCGGGGCACCCAGTCCCTCCAGAGAAAACGCCCTGACCCGGCCCACGGTGGGTCAGACCCTGATGCAGAGGAAGAGGCCAGAGCCTTAATTAATAATACTTTTAATAAAATTAAGTTCTTAATAGCACATTTAATACATTAACCCTCCCCCTCTTGGTTTCTCTGCATTCTGTGCAACATCACTTTGACTTGATTATTCATGGGTCCGTTTCATTTCCCGCCTTTACTTTGTTTTTGAAATATTTTTCCTTGGTGGGTTTGTACGTGTCTTCACTAGATGCCTCAAATTAAGTCTGACCACAATCCTACGCTACTTTCTACAGTGGAGAGACTGTCCCCCTGCCCCAGGGCCGTCTCCCCCCCACCCTTCCCCACCCGCACCCTCCAGTGGGAAGGGAAGCCCTCCCCACCCCACACTCTACCTTCCCAAACTAGCGGGGTTTCTAGGACAAAAAGAGCAGGGGGGGTCTCCCGAGGTGGGGTGAGAAGAGCAAATCGGGGAGAGGGAGATGTGACGGGGCCTAGGGCCAGGGAGGGGCCCGACGGAGTCACTGGCGTAAAGGCAGGCTCCTCTCGCCCAAAGGAGAGCCAGGGGCCTCGCGCCCGCCCGGACAGCAGGGCCGCCCCGAGCTAGGCTGCTAGAAGGCAAGGGCGAAGGAAGATTAGTGGATTTCTTACATGCAAAAGCCAAGCTCCCCAGGCTTCTGCGGGGAGGGTGCTGTGCCCCCAGGCCAGGGCGCGGCGGGTGGCCCCTACCTGAACACTCACAGCAGGAGGTGGGCTGAAACACAGGGGTGGGGGCAGGGGTCCCCCAAATCCCTGCTGCCCTCCCTCTGCCTCCGTACCCCCCGGGGCCCTGTTCTCCCAGGCTTTCAAGGACAGTATCTCCCCTGAACCCCAGGGGGTGGGAAGTCCTTCTTGGAGTCTACCTTCTTTGAGACAATACAGCAAACCTGCGGAGCACAGTGCCGTCGTAAAGAGCCACTGCTGAGGCTGCTACTTCCACCGCTGCCACGGAGGCCAAGAGCTGAGTGGAATGTTGGGGAGGAACGAGGTCGGGGGGGGCGGCTGACCCCCTCAGTCCTCTCGAAGCTCTGAGTCGGTGGGAAATGTGTGCATATCTGTTCCTAGAAGGATCTACCAGGCTCTTGAATCACTCCGCAGCGGGGTGGACGGAGGCTACTCTGCAAGAAGGACTTCCTCGGGCCTGGGCCGAGCAGTCTCCACCCTCCCCGAGACCCCCAGAGGACACCCCACTTTGGAGTAAGGACTGCTCTGCAGACACCGGGGACGCGCATGAAGGGAGGCCCCTCAGGTGCAAGGGCACAGAGCAGGCGCGGGGAAACGTGCTCCCCTTCTCTGCCGCCCTGCCCGGCTCCCATGCGCTTGAAATGATCAATGTCTACCTTTCAAAGACCCTGGGGACCGAGCCCCTCATCTGTTTGTCCTACAATTTAAAAATCCAAGGATTCTCAGAATCAACCCCAGCAGACTGGAAGCTCCCGGCCTGAACTAGCAACCTGCTCACACCCGGCTGCCTGGAGATGGGCGAGTTCTCACATGCAGGGTGGACTTGACCGCTTCCCTCACCTACTTTCCTTTTTCGTTACAACTTTTATACATTCTACTGGACCCAGGGGCCCTCAATGCTACTAAACTTTAAGCTATCTGAATATCGTCTACTAAGTAACTAGTAATTCTTTTTTTTTCTCTAGGATTATATGAAATAAATTTGAATTATTATTATTAATAATTATTATTTTGTAGTATTCTTTTCTTTTAAACCCCTCGGTTTCTTTCTTTTTCTTCTCTCTCTCTCTCTCTCTCTCTCATTTTTGGTTAAACAAAACAAAACAAAACTATTTCTCTTAAATCTCGCACCGCTCTGAGGGGTCCCGCAGGCCTCCAAGGCCTCAGCTCTGGACTTCCCCCTCCTCACTCGCCCCTGGGACAGGGCAGGGGAAGGGGGGGCCAGCTCTGGATCCCCAGTCCTAGTGCGTCTTCCTTTCTCGTTAATCCCTTTCTTTGTTTGGCTCGGCCGGCTCCCCCCGAGGGGGAGGGGCGCGGGGAGGGGGCCCACGGAGTGAAATCCAATCTACTTGCGGGGCCCCAGAGGGACCAGGTCCCCGCAGCCCCCGTCTCCACCACACATCCCAGGATGCTCCCCACGAAAAGCAAATGACATTCCTCCCCAAAAAAAAGTGGGGGAAAAAAGGAACGTAAACCCGAACATATATTAAAAACACTTTTTTTAAGATTTAACTCTGAATACAAATGTATTTTTTTTCTTCTTCTCTCCCTACATATATTCTAAACCTTCTAAAGTTTTTTTATTTTTTTAAGGATCACTTTATCATAAAATAAAATATCCTTTTCATATAATAAATTACCTAATAAAAAGTCTTTTTTTTTTCATATTAGCCCAGGTTCTTTGCTACATTTATACGGTAATAAACGCCTTTATTAAAATAGAATATTAAATTATAAAGAACTGCTTTTTTTTTTTTTTTGCTATTTTTGTTTTCTCTCCGCTGCGTTGGTCGCCTATCTCGCTCCCTCTCGCGCTTTCTCTCCTCTGTTTTGTCTCTCACCATGTGTGTTTTGCGTTGGTTTCTAGGTTTGGCTCAATTAATAAGGGTGGGATTGAATTTTCTGAGCCCCCTAGCGTAACAGTCTTCTGCCTTTGTGGGTAAGAAGTGGAGAGGGGGAGGGGGATCGACAGACAGACATCCCTTCTTCCCACCCCCCTCCCCACCCCCCTTGGCGACCGAGGGTGCCCATTTGGTTTGGTTACTATTGTACAGACATCTCAGGATGGCTCACATTGGCGGGAAGGAGGGAAGTTGTCACAGGCCAGTGTGCCTGTGACCTCCTTCCTCTCCCCTCCCTGGCTGGTGGTCCGGAGGGGTAGGCCGAGGAAAGGTGAGTTAATTCACAACAGGAGGAAGGAGAGGAGGCGATCCCCCCTGCACCTCCATCCCTGCACCCCCTCTCCGTCAGATAGAATGGGATTCCGAGCTAAGTGCTCAGAGATCACTTAGAAGAGCCCCACCCCACTATATACAAGAATCTCCTGGGACCCCCCCGCCCCTTCCTGGCCCGGCCAGCGGAACCAGGAAGGTGTCCGGGAAGCAGTGCAGGGGTGCGAGGCCTGTCAGCAGTGCGCAACCCTGCTGCGCCCCTGACCCCGCCCGGCCCGGGCCTGGGCTCGCTCTCAAGACCCAGCCTCTCTCCTCGACCACAATGGGCGGGACAGAGACTTCATGATTTGCTCGCTAACAGAGGTTTGGGGAAGGCCCGGAGAGGGGCACAGGAGTGGGAGCTGCAGGGGAGGGGGGCCCTTCCGTCCACCAGCCTCAGGCTCTTTCCTGCCCTCCGGGCAGCAGACACACACACTACCCTGGCTCTCCGCCGCTGCCCGCGAATCCAGCCCAAGAACTGCTCCCCAGATGCAATGCCCGAAGACGGTAGAGGTGGGGGTTCAACCCTTGATGGACCCCGGTATTCGTTCCCTCCTCAAATTGTCGCTGAGAATGGGGATACATTCCATCAAGAATTCGAGGTGTTTCTTTGGAGTGGGGAGGGCCTCCGAATGCCAGAAGAGGAATTAAGGGGGGGGCATCCAAATGCTCTTCTCCCCTACTTCTCCCCGGGGCGGATGGTGAACCCAAAGCTGAACTAGGAGGGGCAGGAGGGAGGGGGAGAAGGGAAGAGAGAGGAGGAGGGCAGGGCTGGGAGGGACAGCCATCGAGGGAAAGCAAAGAGGAGAGCTGGCGGGAAGAGCAAAGGGAGGGGAGAGCCCAGCGGAGGAAAGATGGGGGGGGGGCGGAGGGGCAGAGAGGAGCGCCCTCTCCAGACCCCTCCACCCAGCTCTGTGGGGAAGATGAGCTCTGAGCCCTTTATGGATTGACATGCTCCCCCCCCCCCCGGAATATCTGTGCAGACTTCTGAAAGGGCCCCAAGCCCCTTATACCACTGGATACCCAGCAACAGATTCCGCAACGGGATATGGCAGTGGAGGGGCTAAAGGGTCATGTTAGGAGGTCAAAGGTCAGGGCCAGAGAGGGCCTGAGAGTCGGAAAGACATCTCTACATACAGATGGTACGTCTCCCCCTCCCTTTCCCCACTCCGACTGCAGAGGGAGGGGCGGTGTGACACAGATGGGGGGGTGGACAGAGGGGGTCAGGACGCCTTAGCGGCCACCTCTGGCAAAACAAAAGTCTCTCTTAGCTGCTTCCAGACTGAAGGGTGTGTTGAGGTATCAGAGTTGTAACTCTAGTAAAATTTCCTGCCTGGCCCCCTCCCCACCTTTCCAGGACCGGGGTGACCAGAGGCTCTGAAGGTGGCCTACCCTCCGCAGCCGCCGCCGCCGCCTCCTCCTCCCCTCCCCCTCCCCAGGAGCGAGTATCTCTAAGCACCTTGCCCCTCTGTTCACTGCTTTCCAAAAGGCCCCTGGTGGAAAGGTGGAAAACCGATCCAGGCCGGCCCCCGGGGAGGGACGCAGGAGGCCCAGGGCAGGGGGCTTAGGAGAATATTCGGATGGCTTGCGTGGCCGTGATGTGGCAGACGGGACACTCGGGGTCCGTCCTCTCGCAGATGCGCACCGCACACTCCATGCAGAACAGGTTGTGTCCGCAGGGCACGAGCGCGGCAGTCACCTCGCTCTCGAAGCACACCATGCAGTCCCGCCCGCCGCCGGGGCTCCGCAGGCCGCCCCCCAGTTTGGAGAAGCCCTGCAGCGGCTCCCCGGGCGGGCGTCGGGGCAGTCCGGCCAGCTCGGGCCCCGCCGAGGCGGCGGGCGAGCGGTGCGCCCCCGGCGGCGCGGCGCGGGCCTTGGCGGACGACGACGACGACGACGAGGCGGAGGAGAAGAGCACCGAGGCGGGCGCGGCGTTCTCCTGGCCCGCCCAGAGCGGGGGGCTGGTCTCGGCCACGCCGTAGTACACGTCCTGCTTGCCCACGCCGTAGCCCGGGAACAGGTAGCCGCCGTAGCCGAAGTCCCCGCCCTGCTCGCCCAGGCGCGGGGCCTCGAAGGCCGAGTCCACCGCGCACTCGCCGATGCACCCCAGGCTGTTCTGGCGGAAGGTGGAGAGCGGCTTGCAGCCGGGCTGGTGCACGCGCCAGGCCTCGGAGTAGCGGCCGTCCAGGCCGGCGTCGGGGCTCCCCGCCAGGAAGTCGTTCTCGTTGTTGTACTCCAGGATCTTGCCCGTGCGCACCGCGATGTGCGTCTCGATCTCCTCGCGCGCGCGCTCCACGTTCCCGGGGGCGCCGGTGATCTCGAACACCGGGTCGCGGTCGCGGCTCGGCGTGATGATGTACGTGTTGGTCTGCTGCTGGATGCGCTTGATGGTGGCCCCCTTGGGGCCCACCACCAGCCCCACCACGCGGTAGGGCACCCGCACGCGAATGGTCACCTGGCCGGGCAGGGCGGGCGCCACGCCGAAGGCCGCGCCCGACTTGTTGCGCGAGGCGCGGATCATGGAGAAGTGCTCGGCCGCCGAGATGATTTCCCGCCGGGCTGTGGCCACGTCCTCGCGCCGCCCCGTCACCATGAACACGGGCTCCTCGCCGCGCACGGGTGTCTTGATGTACGTGTTGGTCTTGGCCCTCAGAGCCTTAATCTTGCAGCCTGGGATGGGGGTGGGGAACGGAGAGAGAAGGAAACTCACAGGGCAAGTCTGTGCGGGGCCAGGCGGCTCCTGATCCTTACTCAGAGCCAGGCCCTCGGCTGCCAATGCGCCGCGCGGACAGTCCGCTCATAGTGCCTCGGGTCTCCCCAGCGTCTCTATCAACCCCAGATTTCAGAATGCACCAACTGTCCCACAAATTCTGGCCAGGGCCCTCCGAACTCAATCACTCCTCGAAACTCCAGGAAATAATCACTGACCCTCCCAGACAAGCTGCTGACCTCAACTCTACTAACTCCACCCAACCATGTACCGTTCCCTCAATTTCTCCACTGACTCCTGGCTACTCACAAACTTCCAGATCACGTAATCACCCTCCCACGTCTGACACTGACCTTGCAGGACCCGGAAGTACTCAGTAACCCCGCAATCTCCTCCTGACTTGACCTCTATTCATCAAACGCGTCCTCCAGGCTACTCAGGGACCACAGACACCCATCTGCTCCACGATCTATGACCCACCCCCCATCCAGGCCTTCCACCCATTAATGTCTCTGAGGGTCCCAGATTCATAGCAAGTCTGCAGCAACGAGTGGAGTGTGGGAGACTGGGAAGTGGCTGAGAATCAGTGTTTCAAGAGGGAAAGAAGTATGAAGATAAAAATAATGACGTGTGACGGACAGCACCCGAGCCCACGGACACTCCAGCCACACTGTCCCCTGGGGGCAGGAGCGCTGAGATGGGGTGGCGCTGAGTAGGTGACGGACAAGGTATCCTGCACCCATACTCGTGCTCTGAAGCAGAGTGGGTTAAAGCTGGGAGATTGCGGGGAGAGGCAGAAAGAGAAAGAGGAAAGCCGAGACAAAGAGACAAAGACAGAGAAGGGGAAGAGGAGAGTCCGGGAGGCTGGCGTGGACACAGCATCTCTAAAGGCTGCAGCCCCCCCCTCCCCCCATGGCTGACTGGCCAAGCCTCTCTCCTCTTTCCCAAGTTCTGCCTCTCTGCCCCCCGGCTTCACACACAGCTAGGCTCACGTGCTTTCTCGAAGCACACATGCCACACGTGTGCGAATTTGCACATACATGGACCCAAGAGCCCTGATGTACGGTGTGCCTTTATCTATCTATCCGTGTGCAAACCCAGTGTCCACTCACGCTCAAACACACACACACAGACTGCTTGTACTTGAACCTTTCACGCACCCCGCTCTCCCGTCTCCGTCACCCCCAGCCCTCAAACGGCACATTCCTCTGCCCGCCCACAACTTTGGCCCCCGCGCGCACGGAGACGCGTTCCCACCACTCTGCAGATGCACACACCGTGCTCTCATCTCCCCCACCACGTGACCTATTCCCCCCAAACCAAGGCCAGCAGTCCTCGCTCTCCCACTCGGCCCCAGCCCTCCAGCCACAGGCCTGCGGGCAGCTGGGGGGTTTCTCTCCTTCCTGCCCTCGAGCTGGCTTCCTCTCCTGCCCCAGACCGGGCCGGGGGGAGCTGAGGGCAGGGCTCCTCACCTTCAAGAGACCTCAGGAAGGAGAAGTGGCTTCTCCCTTCTGGTCTTCAGGCCCCTTGGCAGGTGAGAAGTCCTACCTGTTGTCAAGCCCACATCCTTGCTGCTCTAACACCAGCAAATGCTGGTCCTTTCTGTGAGGCGCAGAGATGTGAGGTGCTGCGACTCCCTCTCCTACAACTTCCACTCACATGGCATCCGGTGGGCACCTGGGGGCCGGCTCTAAGTTCTAGGTCCATAAGCTTAAGCAAGAGTGGGGTATCTTCGGGGGCGGGGGCTGGGGTGGGGCAGACAGGTCAGAGCAGGAGAGTAAGAAGGAAAGCGGGGGGCCCGGAGGCGCGGACGGCATCCTGGGTTTTGGAAGCCTGAGGAAGCATCTCTGGAAGGGAAGACCGCGGGGCTTCACCTTTCTAGAGGTCAAAAAGAGGAGTCCTGTGCTGCGGCGGGGGCGGGGGGCTAGGCAAGAGGGAGGACCTCCACGTGCTTAAGGAATGAGGGAGGCTTCTCTTCTCTGAAGAGGAGAACCCCCCCTACTTTTCTGAGAGACAGGCCCATCTGCTGCAGACGCAGATGACTCCATGAAATCCTGGGGCTTCCCAAGACCACCCCCACATCCGAGAAAAGCAATCAGTGTCCCCACCCAATTCCAGGGCTCGGGGTCCCTAGTTTCTGGCAACATGAGAAAATCCAACTTTTTGAACCAGGAACCTCAAGAGATGGAGCGCCCCAGGGGGGTGAGGGCTGTGCAGGGGAGTGGCATCGTCCCCTCCTCCATTCCGGATCGCCCCTTAAAATGCCCCCAACCCCCAAGCACTTCGGGGCAATGAGATGGGGTGCACGGTAGGGGCCCCCCCTGGCTGGTCTCCCCTCCTCCCCTGCCCGCAGACGGCCTCCTCCCTCCCTCCCAGCCGGAAAGCAGCTCCTCTATTGTTCCCCACTGTGGGACAGCTCCTCCCCTGCCCCTCCCCCACCCCTACCTCCCCAGCCCAGCCCCCTTGCAATCTCCAAATCCCGCCCCCCCACTCCCCTTTGGGAAACCGGGAGAGGGAAGGGTCCCCAAGATCCCGTCTGCTCAATCTGGACCCTCACCAACACTCCCACCCCCACCCGCCCAGGGATGCTGGAGCGAGGAGGGTGTGGTATCAGACACACCACACTGGATTAATTCTACACCCCCCACCCCAACAACACACCCAGGCACACGCCCTCCAACGAAACCTCTGCGGGAGGTTTCTCACCCCCCCAGCAGGCCCCCTCCTGCCCGGTCCTGCTCTCACACCACCAGAGACCCCTCTCCAGGCCTCCGGCCCCTGGCCGTGGCCAGCCCAGAACAAAAGCCTGAGAGGGATGAGGACAGGTCCACGCCAGGACGCGGCGCTTCGTTGGAGGCACCCCTTCCCAAACCCCACAGATCGTTCAACTTTGGTGTGTAGGTGACCACAGGGCTCCCTCCTCCCAGCAGCCCCCCTCCTCACGACTCCCCTGGGCTGGGACCCTCCCATGAGCCACACCCCCTTCCATTCCTGCACTCAGCCCAACAAAGAGACAGATACTCAGTCTGGCTTCCCGGGCCAGGTCTCCCCCAAAGTCTGTAACTCCAGCTGTAGGGGGTCCCCGGGGCGCCCCCTCCCCAGCCCACTAGCAGATCCCGGGCCAGGGGCTTCTGAGCAACTCTTTGCACATTCCTCCAGTTTTTCTGGCCAGCAGTGGACATCCCCTCCGGACAGCCTCCCAGGATTGGGAGACCGACCCCCCTCCCTTTTCCCTCTCTCCGTGAGAGGGTATTTCTTTGTCTAAAGGCAGAGCCCTCGCAAGGAAGGATCTGAAGAACAGTCCCGACTGGGGGTGGCAGGGAACTTTGCGGCACTTGGAAATCGGGGTAGGGGGCGGGTCCCCCTTTGTGGAGAAGGGACAGAGCCAGAGGCGGGCAAGGAGAGAGGAAATGAACTTTCCGTGCTGGGATGGGGTGCCCCCCGCTCCAGGCCGTCGCCGCGGTCCCGGCGCCCGCTTACCTTGCCTGCCCACGATCTCGGCCACGTGCTCGGAGGTGGGCACGGGGACACACTCGGTAGTGTTGCTGCTGCCCTTCAGGCGCAGCTCGGCCTCTTTGTAGAGAGCGCAGAGCTTGGCGTCGCTGGCCCCTTTGGGGGCGGCGGGGGGCTGGGGCGTCTGCGCCGCGGGGGCCGCCGGCGGGGCGGCCGGGGGCGCCGCGGGCGGCGGCGGCGGGGCCGGCTGCGGGGGGGCGGCCGGCTGCGCGGGGGCGCCGCCCCCCCCACCTCCCCCGTCCTCGCCCGCCGTGGGGGCGGGGGGCTCCCCCAAACCCAGGAGGCAGAGTTGATCGAGAGCCAGCTGAAGGGCGCGCTCGTCTTCCAGCAGCCCTCGGTCCTTAGCGCTTCCCCCGAAACATCCTAGTTCCCCAAAGCCCCCATTTCTTTCCATTATTCCAGATACCACTAGACTAGGCATGGCGAAACAAAAGCTGGGGGAGAGAGGGAGAGAGGTGGTGGAAGGGAAAAGAGGGGAGAGGAGGGGAGGGGAGAGGAGGGGGGCGTGTGGGGAGGGGGGAACAAAGAACTGGGGAGGGGGGAAGAAAGCGAGATAGAAAGATAGACCCTCCCCCTAAGCCCCCCTCCCCAAACACCCTGTAACCCGACTCCCCTCGCCCCAGCCCCCGGGGTGGGGGTGGGGGGAAAAAGAAGCAAAACCGAGGAAGCAGCTCTCCGCTCCGCTCCGGGAGTGACGGGGGGCGGGGGGCTGCGGGATCTCTGCCCCCACCCCTCCCGCCTCGGACCCGGGCGGCTCTAGACCCCGCCGTCCAGACGCCCCCCTTAGGCTCCCGCACCGAGCCCCGGTCCGGGAGCGGCGCCCAGTGGCCCCCAGTCGAGCCCAGCCCCTTCCAGCGCTCAAACTCTTTTGTTTTAAATGAACTGGATGGAGCAGCATGGAACTGCGGGGGGGGGGGGGCGGCGCGGGGGCGCCCGGGGCATGCCGGGAGTTGTAGTTTCCCGCCCTCGGGGGCGCGGGCTCGGGCCCGTCGCCCCGCGGAGGATGGGGACGTGCCTCCGGTCTCTAGCCCGGCTCCGAGGCAAAGCCGGGGGGCCGGGGGGGGGGCGGGGTGGGAGTCGAGGTCCTTAATTTCCCCGAGGGGCGGGCGCGGGGGGACGGAACCGGAGCGAGTCGGAAAAGGCTAACGGAATGCCCCCCCTCCCCAGACGGATTCCCCACCCACCCCCACCTCGTCCCGGCCGGCCGGGGGGTCCCCCTTTCTTATGGTAATGAGGGGGCGAGGGGGCGGGGGCGGCCCGTCCGGGTCGCCGCGGGCCCCCTCCCTGGCCGCGCCCCCTCCCCGCGCGCCGCCTCGGCGCCCCTCCCTCCCGCGGAGTCGTCCCGGCTGCGGGCCGCGGGGACGGCCTCTCGGCAGAGCAGACAAAGCCCGCAGCGCGATGCGGGCGCCGCCGGGCCGTGCGCGCCGAGGAGGCGGGGGGGGGGGCCCGGAGGGCGGCCCCCCCCGGCCGAAGACGGGGTCCGCTCAGCCCCGAGCGGCCGGCCACCCCCCCGTGCCCTCCCGCCCCCCAGTCTGGGAGATGTGAGCGGCGCCGCCTGGGAGGTGAGTGAGTTCTGGTCCTTCCGAGCGGCGGCGGCGGCGGGCGGGCGAGGGCGAGGGCGAGGGCGAGGGCGAGCGGGGAGGCCGGCGAAGTCTTGAAGGCGAGGTGTGACTTCAGTCTCCGGGGAGAGCCCCGGGCTTCGCGCGACCCGAGGAGGGAGGAGAGACGGGGTCCGCTCGGGGCCCCGCAGACGCCTTGGGGGTGGTCTGTTCTCGGCCTCCACCGTCATTCCACTTGTCCGTCCCCCGCCCCCCGCCGCCCCCCAGGGCCCGTTAATTCAGCTCCTTGGACTCTGGACGTTCGGTGAAAGTAAAAATAAGTTTGTAAGGCATGAGTTGGACAGCGGGGGACTTCCGAGGCAGTTGGGGCGAGTCGGGGTGCGCTGCGGCCCTTTCCCTCCCTGACGCCCGCATTTCTTTGGTCTCCCTTTTTACGCCTGGGCCGTTCCCAAGAGGAGAGAGGAAGCCATGAGGTGGGACTTGAAGAAGAACTTCCCAGGATAGTTTCATAAGAACGGGTGGGCAGGCTGCGGTGGGAAGGGGTCTTTTCTGCAGGGCCTTGGAAACCAAGAATCTGGACGGGTTTGTGAGGCAGAGTCCTGCCTGGAGGCGTCGAGCGGATGGACAGATGACCTCACAGAACTGCCGCTGTGAGGCCTTGAGGGCTGACCTGTGGAGCCCAGTTCCCTCAGTTGATTCTTGGAAAGAGGAGATTTGAGTAGTGGGAGGCTGGGGGCCAGAGTGGAGGGTCTCAGGAAGGGGTGGCCCATGGCCGGGCTCTTGGTCCTGGAAGATCTAGGCGAGGGGAGCCATGGCCAGGCACCCCCAGAGCGCCCGAGTCGGTGCCCCCCGCCTTGGGGATTGAACAGAACTTTAACAGCAGGCTTTAGGGCTTGAGTGGCTGAGGAAGTGGGGAGGGGGGCTCTGGTCCCCTCTCCTTCTGGCCCAGGATCATGGATCGGCCGCCTGTGCTGCTGGGCCGGGGAGGCCCTCTCGCGGGGGAAGGCTCCTACTCTGTGACCAGGTGACTGGTTTTCACATTAATAGAAATAGCAAACGCTTGCATAGGACTTATTGTGTGCCAGGCATTTTTGTCACCAGCTGCTCTGAGCCTTCCTGTCCCCACTGACACGAGAGGCCCCCTTGACAGCCACCCCTGAATTTGCCCTGCTTCCACTTTCTTCCCCACTAAGCTAATTAACGCAGGAGGCTAATGACCAACGAAGCCCTGGGGATTTGGTCAGGGTGGAAAACAAAGGGCAGAAAAGAGGTGTGTGTGAGTGGGGGGGGGGCAGATGAAGGAGCGGGATAGGGGAGGTGGGGGGTCCCCGCTGGACCCACTGAGCCCAGCCGACAAAGACCCGTGGGTGTGTGAATGCACGCGGCAGTCCGAGGGGCCCCACTGAGACTCCAGACAACCGTGAACGTGCGCGTCTGGAGGGCAGGGTGCCTGTGTGAGTGGCACTTGGGTCACGCGCAGGAGCGTGTGCCTGCAGATCATATGGGGTGTGCCCCCCCACAGTGGGGACCACCAGCCTGCCCAGGTGACAGAGGCCAGGCTCCATGGGGCGGGGTTTCCATGAGTCCTCCTCTGGCTCCTGGAGGCTGATGGCCTCCTTTGTTCAGGGGACTCCTCTCCTCCCCTGACACTTGCATTGGCCCAGTTAGGTCTCTGTCCAAGGGCCCTCCTCTTCCTCTCTCCGCCTGCCTGCCGGATCCAGAATTAAGGCCGAAGGCCTTAAACAGTTTTGCTTGAAAATAGATGGCTGTGCCCACCCCACCCCACCCCTCACTGTCTGTTTAAGACCAGAAAGGTGTGTGGATGGCATACGTCTCCACTCCAGGGCCTTGAAGGACAGGACTGCCTTTCCTCTTTGTCACTGTCCCCCACCTTGGCCCCCCAGTGCCCAGCACACAGCCCCGCCCAGAGCAGAAGCTCAGTGAGGGGGTGCAGAGTTAACTGCACATTCGAAGTTTCAGGGTGTGAGAGGAAGGAGCGGGCCTCTGGAGGCAAGCTGCTGCCTGAGCAATCGTTTACCGCCGGGCCTCGGTTTCCTTGTCTCTGAAATGGGAAGCCAAGTTCCTAGCACAGTGCCTTACTCATCTTTTTTCTTGATGAATTTTCTTAATGTTTATTTTTGAGAGAGAGACCGAGACAGAGCATGAGCAGGGGAAGGGCAGAGAGAGAGAGAGAGAGAGGGAGACACAGACTCTGAAGCAGGCTCCAGGATCTGAGCTGTCAGCGCAAAGCCCGACGTGGGGCTAGAACTCACGAACTGCGAGATCATGACCTGAGCCAAAGTCGGACGCTCAACCGACTGAGCCCCCCGAGCGCCCCAATGTCTGACTCATCTTAAGTGTTCAGTCAATGTTAGCGTTCTGCCCTGTCGTTCCCTCCTTGCGGTGGACTTTGGCCAGCTCGCGCTCTTCATTCATTAATTTTCATTCATTCTTTCAGCCAACTACTTCTTCTTGAGTTCTTAGGATGTGCCAGGGCCAGGAGGAGATCCTGACCCACTGCGCGTCACTCGCGGTTCTAGATCTGGCCTTGTAGGAAAAAGATGATCCCAAACAACCAGCAGATAACTTCAAAAATAATTCCTGTCGAGTCCTGGCAGGCAAGTGAGCTCTGTCTCTGCGGCCGGTGCACCCTCGGGCCAGTCTCCTAGCCTCGGGCCCGAGGAACAAAGGCCCCCGCCGAGCTGTCCAGTTGGCTGCGTGTGCAGTGCGTGGCTCGGAGCACGTGTAGCTGTGTGCGTCCCCGTGCGTGTCCACAGGCCTGGCTCTGGAGCATGGCAGGAAAGCGGGGTTCGTGTGGCCGCTCAGGACAGGAATGGGGTGCAGTGCTCCAGACTGCGTTCGTCCGTGTGGGAAAGGACGAGCTGTGTCCCTCTCCTCTCCTCTCCTCTCCTCTCCCCTCCCCTCCCCTCCTCTCCTCTCCTTTCCTTTCCTTTTTTAAAGTACATTTATTCATTTTGAGACAGAGATGGGGAGTGCCGGTGGGGGTGGGGTGGCAGAGAGAGAGGGAGAGAGAGAGAATCCCAAGCAGACTCTGCACTGTGTGGAGCCCGATGTGGGGCTCCAACTCGTGAACCGTGAGGTTGTGGCCTGAGCTGAAATCAGGAGTCACACACTTAACCAACTGAGCCACCTGGGCACCTCCCTTCTCTTTTCTGAGCAAACCTGGGCACCTTTTATCACCACCTGTCCGAGTACCGAGGGATGCGGCGCGTACCTGGCTCGTGCCCCTCCCGTGCCCCGGCTCCGGAGCCCCTGGAGGGGAGGAGACCCAGGAGGCTGCCCCCGTGCGTGGGCTGGCCTGCACGGAGGTCCCCTCAGCCACCTCCCTCGTCGTCTCCATCTGTCCTCGTCGGAGGAGCCTCTTCTCCTATGCGTTACGGGGTCTCCATGTTCTCCTGATTCCCCTCCCTCCCGGGAAGGCCACCTTGCTGTCTAAACACCATGTTTCCTGCTGAGAGCTCAACAGTTTTCTCTCTGTTGCTGGAACAACTAACTCATTAATGTCCATCAGTGAGAACGTATTAAGTAAAATTCTGTAGGACACACAAAAGAAATATCAGATTTGATCTTTGGCCTCAGCGAGACACAGAAAACAAGACTCAGAGGACACGGCCAAACAGGATGACATGTGAGGGCAGAATGGTCTCTGGGCCTTGGAAGACCATGGCGATGGAGGAGAGAGGAGGCCACGACGGGTCCTTCCGCTGTTGTGGACTGGCCTCCAACGGCGGCCCCTGCCCTTCCCCAGCGCCCGCTCCGGCACCCCCCCACCAGGTCGCCTGCACTCTCTGATTTCCCTAGGGAGAGCAGCTCAGGGGGACTGGGGTGGAGCCAGGGCCCCCCAGGACAGCTGGCTGACAGGGCCCCTCT